CTCATATAAAACTTATAAGCAAACATGTTTTCAGTTTTAAATATTGCAAGTTCTTATAGTTATTTCAGTTCTTGCTTGTGAAGAAGGCACAGAAGAGGCCGTACTTCCTGAGAATGCTCAGGAAGATAAATCTATCTCAGCATCTACTTCTGTCCTACTATCGCAGCACCATTGAGAGTGTCCTGTCATACGGCATTCTTGCATGGTATGGGAGCAGCTCTGTAGCGGACCACAAAGCTCTACAGAGAATCATTAAAACTGCCAGAATATTATCGGACTCCAGCTACCAGCCCTGGACAACATCTTCGAATCTCGCAGTTTGAGGAAGTTGCATAACATTCTCAGAGACTCTTCCCATCCTGCTTACAATCTTTTTGGACTGTTGCCTTCTGGCAGAAGATACAGAACAATTAAAACTCGGACCATACGTTTTCTGACAATGACAATAAAGTTTATTATTATTATTATTAAGTTACAGGATTCTTGTCAAAAGTTAACATTTACTACAGTATTTATCTTCCTTTTGAAAAAAAGCCCACATAAATAGAAAAAGATATATGAAAAATCAGGTTGAAGAGATAGGGGGTTTTTTTTGTTGTTGTTGTCTGATAATGCCACATGGATGAAATTTATACAGGAAGCCAACAATTTACAAACACAATTGAACTCAGAATTTGGTCGCTGTAGTCACCATATAACTGGACTTGATTTTACAACCATTTTATGACAGTTGCTAAGTGAGTCACCATAGTTGTTAATTGAGTAATATGGCCGTAAGTCCAAATCCAGTTTGATAAATTGGCATTTTCATCAGAAAATGGCAAAATATGATCACATGACTTCAGGATTCTGCAGCCAGGCAGTAAATGTGAGCCAGTGGCTTAGAGTCCATTTGGGGGATGCATCTCTCAAGGATGTGCCCATCTAGATCCTGAGTGTGGTATCTTCTGAGACTCTAGGGCAGGGTGCAGGGGTGGGTTCTAATTTTTTTTACTACCGGTTCTGTGGGTGTGGCTTATTTTGTGGGCGTGGCTTGATGTTCATGTGACAATTATTTAGGATTTAGCAGAGGTACTGGTCTACCAGGCTTTTAACTGCTTGCAGAACTGTACCGATCTACCCATTTATTTTTGCAGGCACTGATCTACTCATGTATTTTTGCAGGCACGGTCTACTCATTTGTTTTCTTTTAACACTGATCAGCTGTAGGGCGGCCCTTTGAACCCCTGTAGCAAGAATTTAAACAGTTTTTTTTCCCTCTAGCCATCAGCTGGGACTCAGGAGGCAGCAATAGATTGGGGGTGGGGCCAAATAAAAGGTAAGAATAACACGGGGGCTGGGGGGCCGGGGCCGGGTGGGGGGCAGAACCGGTTCGGTGACGTCAAATCATCACTGCTACTGGCTTGGCGGAACCGGGCCGAACTGGGAGGAACCCACCACTGGCAGGGTGGGGATATATAGGGGTCAACTTATTTTCCAAAGCACCAGAGGCCAGGACAAGAAACAATGGATGAAAATTAACCAAGGAAGGAAACAACCTGGAATTAAGAAGAAACTTCCTAACAGTGAGGACAAATAATCCATGGAATAACGTGCCATCAGAAGTTGTGGGAGCTTTATCACTGTAGGTTTTTAAGAAGAGACTGGATTGGACAGTCATTTGTCTAAAATGATACAGGATCTTCTGCTTGGGCAGGGGGGTCTCCAAGATCCCTTCCAGTTCTATTCTAATTGATTGATTGATTGACTGATTGATTGATAGTGTTGTCTGAGAGTCTTAATTGCTTTTGGGGTTGCTTTTCCACAAACAGCTAGACTTGAAATCTTACTTGTGAAACCATAAGGATTAGATGGGGTTGCTGCTTATGTGTCACCTTCAATACTATAAACTCAAGATGGTAGACTTCTCTAATTCTCCCTCCTATTTTCCTCACAACAGCAACTCTGTGAGGTAAGCTCAGGTGAGAAGAATGACACTCAGCCAGACCTTGTAGTCTCCTTGAAACTACTCTCTTAGTTTTAGTTTTTAGTTTGATTCCTTAACCATTAAACTGAACTGGTTCTCTTCTACTGTAGGAAGAAAACAGAATAAGGTTATTTCATCCTTCCCATTTTTTCTGGGGCTTCTTGGATACTTATCACATAGCTGTATTAAGCATTATTGCAGCACTTATGAAATTTATAGTTTTACATTTCTGGAATGCAAGACAACTTTAGGTGGATAAGCATCACTTCTGAGTAGTCATAATAGGTCTAGGATTTTGAGTGGCATTTAGATGTCTGGCATTTATAATCTCATTAAATTTTAACAAGTGGAAGGTTACAATCTTAGATTCATTAATCTGTAAATTAATTTTGTTGCATCTCATGGGGTTATTTAAGACTTAAAGGGTTTATTTCAGAGTAGACATTTATATGAACGTGTGTGTGTATTTTGTTAAGCATATCAGACTCACCTATAATGGGTTTTTAAAAAATTTATATTGACCTACACATTGATCATCCCTTCCACTAGCAAAAATGTCCTGATGAAAGCCTGCTTTTTTCTCTACATATAAAACTGAATCTGCTTTTAAAAATTCTTTCAAAAATCAGGCTTTATTGGATGTAATAGGCATCAGAGGAAAAGATGAATGTACAGTGCACATGTGTACATGTTAATACTAATGTTTTGGATTGCTCTACAGAGTTTTTTTTTATTATTTAAAAGAGTTATGTGGCCACTCATCCTATATACCATAGCATTGAGTGTTCTCAAAAACACAGATTTACTTACAATGACATTGATAGAGGCTGAAATACTAATCCAGTTAGCAGTCCTTTCTTCCCAGTGCTTCAGACTAAGCTCTCCATTTTCCAAAAGGTATTTCCAAAAGGATCATAAGCCATCTGCACATTTATAAAGATTTGAAACTTATGTATTCCTGAAAACAAAATTGCTCCATTAAGAGGTGGCAATTATGTTCCTACTACTAGAGAAACCAGCCATTAAATGCTGCGTAAAGCTGATTTATGCTTCTGAAATTGACCTGGACTAAATTTAAATGTTGAAATAGGCACTGATGGATATGCATCCAGAATTGCACTACTTCTCAAGTACTATCACTTTTCACTTTATCCTGAATGCATATTTTTTCAAGCCTTTTATTAAGTATTCAGCCACAATGTAGCAGACTCGGTATTTTATTGAGTATATCCTTGGCAAAGGCTATCTAACAGGAATCTGCAGTCAGATTCCAGTATCTGAAGCAATCCTTCATAAAATCAATGTTCTGTATATTTTCATTGTTCAGTTTTGAAAGCAGTACATTTCTGGCTGCATATATTGCATTCTCTGTGCCATGCACAGAAGTGGTGAAACTTGATATTCCCACCATGTCTTAGTGGTAAAAGCAAAGGATATAATTTTCTTTTTTAAAGTCTTCTTTGTACTACAAGCAAAATGTAGATCACGTCATCAGGAGAGGATATGCTAAAATCAAATTCATAGGGACACTGCATAAGGACAATAAAATACCATTTACTGTGAAAAATATTAACATTATTGGTACTTCGTTCAAATTCAGCATTGGCGGAAACAGATAGCAAGTTTAACACTCAATCATGTAATTTCAAATACGTACATTATTATGTGTGAGAATGGATTTAGCAGGTTTTCAACCTTTGTTCTTACCATGGTGGATCACTTGGCTTTTAAAAGTTCATTCTGAATCAGGATTTTACTTTGTACATATTTCTATTAGATTTTATTTCACTTTAAAACTGATATATGCCTGTATCCTTTGGAATAAAGAAGGTTTAGCTGTATAAATAAACGCAGTATGGATGTATGATCCCCCCCCCTCCGAGAATCTATTTGTGCCATTCTCTTTATTTTCTAATATTTGATCATAAGAAAAATTATGACTATATAAATGGGACATAACATAGGTTCATTATTGTACTATAAAAATCCTAACATTCGAACTCTTCTTACATTTTCTTTTTTAGCTTATATCATGATAGAATTTTAGTTGCTCTAAAAGTAAATTTGTTTAGATGTTCTCAATCAGTTCTTACAATTAATAACTCACACAAGCCTTGAAAAAGATATATGAGTTTGATTGAGGATAGAAATGTAGTAATGGGAAAAGTTAAGGTCAAGTATAAAGAGAAAAGGTCTTCTCCTAGAATGAACTTCTGGACTTGGAACCAGGATTCTAAGAAGAAAATCTTTGAGAAAAAATGGGAAATCTCTAGGAACTTAATGAAAAAAGGACTTAAAAGAAAAAGATTTACAAACTTGGGTGGGCTGTTTGTTTATGCCAAGGGGAGGGAGACAGGAGAGTTAAGGAAGCTGATTCAGGCATTGGCCATGTTAAACAAGGATCCAAGACAAATTATATTTTGGATGCACACTGAGAAAAGGAACTGTGGCAAAATCTCTCTTAGCTTCTTAGGCCAGCCTTCTTTATTAGTCAGAAGAAGGCTGGCTTAAGAAGCTTAAAAAAAGATTAGCTGATCGATAGTTAATAGCTGTGCTCACCGGGAATTCCAAGAATTGTTTTTAAAACATTTGGAAGGTATCAGGTAGAGGAAGACTAACATAAGGATTAGATGTTCACTACTGGAAGAAAGTGGAAAAGAAGAAGTAGTTTGTAGGATTGACAGATAAGAGTTAGCCACATTTCCCTGCTAAGTGTGGGTAATAGGGTTGGAATCCAATACATCTGGAAATTGTCAGATCAAGGAAGACAGGACTGCTGTATCCTTAAGAGCTGTATATCAATTGAATGCTGTTTATCCTATTTCTTAAAGCTAAGGATGTTATGAGGCCCAGGAAGCATATGGTATAGGATGGACAAGGAGAAAAGATCAAATTCCGGAAGTGGTGTTAACTTTTCTGCTACAAATTAAGTACTGAGTTCAAAGCACTTCCTAATATCTAAATCCTTAGACACAGCTTTCCCCGTTTTATTTTTACTCACTGCCTGATAGTCCTATAATTCTTTTGCCTTTAGATATGGAAATCTGGAGATCTCAAACTGTGAAGAAGATGGGAGCCAGAACAATACGGAGACCAAAACAGTACTCAGGAAGTAAGTGTTGCATTTCTCTGAACAGCAAGAATCACAGCCAAGGTTGAATACCGAGAAAAGGATGTGGTCAGTATTCATCTGGAAATTATACACAAATCAGTTTATTACACAAAGGAATGTAGGAACTTTGTCACAACTCTATGAAAGATCAACCTCTTAGGAAGACGAGAAGTTAACAGTCAAAATAAAACCAAACATAGAAACTAGAATTAGTAGATAAAATATTGGGCATTATCCAACCAAATTAGTTCCAATAAGTAGATTAGGAAATACACGCTTCAGCATTTCCCATTGAAATGAAGGACTTAAATATAACTGTTACAATAGACATAACTTTATTCTATTCTGTACATTTACTTAACTAAAATTTATCTTACATTTTATGTTTAATATGAGAATGATTTCAGCATTGTGCTTGAAGGATTTCAGTCATCTCAATGCAAAATTTCACTGAAACAAGAGTTATTGCATTTATGACAAATCAAGCTAGAAGCTGTTTTTAACTATCAGCCCTATAGAAAGGATATCAGGTTGAAATAGAGAACATTTTTAGTTTTAAAATGTACAAGGATTCTTTTCCTATAGTTGGGTTTGCTGCACAGGCAATCATCAAGAGGACGATTAAGCATAATTTCAGAGTCACTGTTACTAAGAGTGGTTCCATTTTCACCAATCTGTTAAATAGAACACACGTGGTGGTATGGGTCATCATGCATGAAACAACTTTAGCTTTTCCTCTTCCTCCCAAATATGCATGTTTCAATGTATGAGTGATTACTTCTCTGAAATAGGGACAATCTGTAAGCCTGACAGGATGTGAAATGCTAATGATGGTCTTGATATATACAAAATGTAAATTGCCTTGATGTTCTGCTTTCTCTGCAATACTGTAATTTCCAAAATCACTCTCGGTATGTATAATACTCCTTTCTTGTCCCTCATATTATGTTTCAGTCAATTTTATTCACTTCACAAGTTAATAGTGTAACATAAGTGGCACATACTGTATATCTCCTAGCACTCCAGCCCACATTCATCCATCGGATAAAACAGATTGCTATTTTCAAAAGTTCATCCCAGAGTAAGCCACTCTCTTTCTTTAGGAAAATCAAGGGAAAAGACTTGCGCTTGTTCAATTTTCATCTATAACCCTATGAATTTAGTATGATTGAGGGAGAAATAATTCAGTGAGTTTCATTGCTGAGAATACTTTTTAACCAATCCAAGTTTCCGAGCACCAATCTCAGAACAACAGTGTACTGCCTATAAAACTTAAACTTCTTACAATAAACAGAAACTTGAGGTTCCTGCTCCAGCATCTGAAAAGGCCCATAGTCTGATTCTTTTGTCCCTTCAGAAAAAGTAGTATGACTCTGAGCTAATTTATTAACCTTTCAGGTCTTGAGAAATGTCCTGCCTTGGCATTGACACAATGTCTTTTTTGGGTTAGACTTTCTGATTTTTCAATGCCTGGCAGAAAATAGTCCCTGCATTATTCTCTCCCTCTGCCCTTTTGTCATGAAGTACTCATTGTAGCTCACAAGATAATTTAAGCTATCTCAGATATGCCAAGGGGACTTTGGCATAAGATGGTGGAGAGATAAACTGGCTTGGCTTAGCTCCAGCCTATGCCATTGATTTCCTTCTGGTATTGGGCAAGTCTTTTGATCCTTGTATAATTTTTAAAATCCAGCTATAAAATTGAACTAGATTATTGTAGATACCTATTTTTCCTTCTCTGAGACATAGTGGATATTGAATTCCCTCGTCCTTGTCTCCTACAATTGCCCTCCTTTGGGAAATGATTTAAATTTTATCTTTGAAAATATATGTTAACTTTTTGCACTTCTGTGGCCACCAGTTATGGTATGCAAACATCAACATAAATATTTTTTAAAGAAGACCCAGGATTATGTAGGCAAATGATAATCTAAATAACTATTTTTTTTAAGAAAAAGAGACCTAGGAAATTAGCTTTTAGATGTAGTAATTAGTTTATCAAATACTAGAATCTTTGATGGTAAAATTGCAGGATCACTCTGGTTTTGTTTTGTTTTTTTGGAAATATCATTGCTTTTGATTTTGGTTTTAATGATGCACTTTCCAGTTAGTAGTTCTTCGTGGTCAGGATTTCGTTGCCTTTGTCTCCTGTTAATTATTCCTCTGGTAAAGCAAGGTGTCCTCTTTCACTGTTATATAAATAATTGCATCAAAAGAATGGAGTTAGTTGAAGCAACCACTGAATGAATGTGAAAGACTTCTTTTACCGCCTGGGAAATCCACAGTGAGAGCTGTTTTAAGTTTTGTTTGTGTTGAGTACAATCAACGTTCATTCTAGTAAAGGGTAAAATAACAAAAAAAAAAAAACCCATTGTGGCTGACCTAAGGAGAAAAAAGACCAAATAGTGACAATTAAGAGAACTGGAAAATTGGGGAAGGTTCCAAAACAAGCCAAATTACTTGCACAATGGGAAAAGAGAGGAGTGAGATCATAGTGGTTTAGTACAGTCCACATAAATGCCAATATCATGAAATTATAGAGACCTATTATAACATGCATCCTTTCATCTCAGGAGCCTAAGTGTGTTTTCATTTATTTATTTTTTTGTATGGGGCCATATTTTGGCCTAACTCCTTGCAGAATATTTATTGTTGTAGGGAGTGGACGAATGTAGGATTCACTTTAGTAACTTTTTATATATTCTGCAAAATTGCAATGAGTAAGATGATGTGATGGTTTTTAGTTTTATTCAGTGAGTGCCATTATGTGCAGCTTTTAATATGTCACAGTTTGACCATGTTTTCATTGACCAGTTTAGCCCTGATAAACATGGCTGCCAAATGGATGATTGTATTTTTTTGGTCTCATTTAAACCCAACAAAATCTAAGTTGTTAATAGTTGAGCTCCAAGCTTCTAAATCTTGGGGTTTTCCTCTCCTGGCCTCGATTGTTATGTTTATATCTGTATAGACTTGGATTACAGAGGAGCTGGTGAAAGATTTTAGATTTCCACTTAAAAAGCACAGTTTTCCGAAAGTATGACCGTGATTCCACATCATTTTTTCAAGAAATAGAAGGTAAAGTGTTAAAAAAAAATTAAAAAGTTCTCACCAAGAAGGAAAGATTTCATTTGGTTAATTTTCTGTTTAAGATCTTGGAAACTAGCTCTGTCTGTGTTTTTAGCTGGCAGAAACAGGGAGTTACTTTTCAGGGACATTAAACATTGAGGCTGCTACAAGGTTTGGCCTTCAATCCAGGCTTTTCCGGAAAGCTTTCCTCCCTAATGTGCTGATTAAACAGTCAGCTGATGGGAGGCCAGTAAGTTATAAGGGCAGTCTGCATAGCTTGTTTTATTGCCTCCGTGTTGATTGACATGAGTTTGTAGGGAAACTCACAGATTACTGTAACTTTGAACTCTACTAAGAGTGCAGCCACGTGTCTTATCCTTAATAATACCCACATTCTGAGTGGAATACAAAGGGAGAAACTTCACACCTTCCAAACAATGAAGTATATTGTTTGCTCCGGGCTGACATGCTTGTACTGTCCATGGAACTGATAACATGCCTCTCATCTTGTCAGGGCAAGCCTGGCTGGAACGATGATAAAGCTGACACAAAGCTATCATGAAGCAAAAGTGTCTTCATTTTCTTTCCTAAATAGGCAAGCCACAGAACCCGGTGAAATGCAATAAGCCATGTGAAGTCAGCGCTGGGAGCATCCGCCTTCCAGCGCTGCCTTTAATTCTACGGACCCACCCCCTAATTAGCCACGGTTATCCCCCAATTATTCCATTTCCTCTATGTTAATCCCCCGCCAGCAGCCAACATCCGGCATAGGTGGCTATGGTTTGTGCCGAGCCATGTTCCCTCCGTCCGATCTGAACTTTCCCCCAGCGTCCAGAACCCCGCCAGTCTTGTGAGGGCTCATCAGCTGTGCTGCGGCAGTCTGCTGCCCGAGACATGGTCTTAGAACAGCGTAGTGGAGCAAGGGTTTCCCGTCTCCACCCAGGTCTGTTGCCAATCATCTGGGACCATCTGAGAGGCACAATAGCTCTCCGGCACCTCCCACGCGTTGGTAGGTGTTGTCCCGGTCGGTTGTTACTGTCCCTGCCACTGTGACGGCTGGCACCCTCACCCATCAGTGGCTCGACATGCCTACTCCACTGAGTTAGCTGCAATCTTATCTCCTGGAGAAAGACTATCACTTTCTGAATAGAGTGGTCACTTACACATTTCTGAAAAAAAGTTCACATACATTTTTGTTACAGTGATTTCTATGATTACTTCTCTGCAAATAATTGTTTGCAAATTTATACATGGAAAGTTTACCTATACAGACTCAGACTATATAGACCCATGAGAAAAACAATGACTAGGGGATCATTGTAAATGCCGAGCTTATGCTTTGTTAACTGTTGACAGATAACATCTAAGCTCCTGTTGCCCATTTTTATGGCTTTTCTGCCTTTAAGTACAACTTAGATGAGACAGCTCTTCCAGCTGACAGCACCTTTAAAAAGGAAAGCCTGCTCTATAAAGGATACAGCCATATTGATTTAAAGAGACGTTAGGAAAGAGTACAGAAATTCAGTTTCATGTAACATACATACCGTACCCCAAAATAGGTTTTGCAGATTTTTGAGACAGGATTAAACATACTTAATACTGTAAGTATTAAATTTAAGGCCATAAATAGTTATGTAAGTAGACACTCATTCCCTAGTCACCTTCAGACTGGCCTATTGCAGTGTGCTTTACATGGGGCTGCCCTTGAAGAGTATCCTGAAGCTTCAGTTGGTACAGAATGCAGCAGAGCGAGCTACATTAGCTGCCAGTTTGCTTCCAGGTCCAATTCAAGGTGCTGGTTTTAACCTTTCAGTCCTTCTTGGCATGGTAGTGGTTATCTGAGGGGACTGCCTCTCTCTGGTTACATCAGCACATCCTACTAGATCTGCAGGGTAGCCATGTTGCAGGTACATCAGCTAGAGACTTTCATTAGGTGGGTCCTAGGAGATGTTCCTTCTCTGTTGTGGCGCCCCATTATAGAACATTCTTACTCCCAAATTAGATTAGGTTCCTTTAGATATTCCATGAAGCCTCAAGTCATGGCTATGTTGTCAGGCAACTGGAGACTTGCACAGATGGCTCCATTTTTGAGATGGCCATTTTTATTCCCCCTTTGCTATGGTTTGTATTTTTACTTCTATGATATTTATTAATAAGTTTTTAAAATTTTGTTCTTATTGTTTTTATCTGATTGTTATTCACCATTCAGAGTCACTTTGGGTGAGATGGGCAGCTATATGAATTTGATTAATAAAATAAATAAATAAAATAAACCTCTGTTGATGAAAATTTGTACACTATGAATCAAGTTCTCCAAAACTTTCATCAATGCTTTTTTAAAAGCTATAATCTTTTTTCCCAGTTCTGCACATTCCTTTCACTAATGCTAAGCCAAATTATTGTTATTTGGGGAGGGGCTGTTAGAATTCTTTGTTACCGAAACCTTTTGAAGCGCATTGAGACAGCGCTTCCTGATTATGGAACTTCCAGATATGTGGACTTCAGCTTCTAGAATTCAGAGCAGTAACTTTGCTGGCTGTTGAATTTGGGGAGATGAATCCCACATTTGGAAGCACCCCATAGTGGAAAATACTGCATTCATAAATGAGGATTAGGGCACAGCATTAAGATTCTCTTTCACATTCTTGGACAATGTTCTTCAGCCTTGTGGCATCCAAATGGGCAGGATTACAGTTCCCAGTATTCCCAGCAGCATGGGAATTTGTCCAGGCTACCCAAAATTGATAGATGCTATTCCTTAATGTATCAGGAGGTTGCTATATAAAGGCTTTGCTAAGGCACAATGGTCTGAGCTTGGAATGTGCACACTGTAGAGAAAGAGAACAAGACTGAAGTGTTTCCCATCCACATCACATGTCAGTAACAATTTGTTGATGGGACTCTTGTTTGACTAGTACTTTTCTGCTGTTCTTTGCAGTGTGCATTTCGTCACAGTGAGGGCTGTTGAGCTTAAAACAGTTAATACTACAGGATTTATATGGTTTTTGTTTTCATTCGGCATTTCCTTTTCAGAGAATAACAAGAACAGTCAGTCTTTCAACTTCAGTTGTACTTGCTTGCTAGTATGCATAAGAGACCTTAGTTACAGATGGAAATCTAGGGCAAGCCTCCACTTGATACTGAGAATGTGATTCAGCCCTGAAATTCTGCAAGAGCTGAGATTTTTTAGCCCAGAGTATTGGAACAGAATGCTACAAAGTGTGATGTTTAAAAGTTAGTTTTGTGTGAGACTAGAGGAAGGAGATTTTTATGTACCTTTCTTATTCCTTTACTTTGGGTAGCAATTTTAGCTGATTTGTATCAGTTTCACGGTGCAGCTGACTTGGCTTTCCTAAGCACATCTTATTATTTATTTATTTAGTTTGCAATATTTATATCCTGCCTGAATCCTAACAGGATTCTGGGCAGGTAAGAACAAGATAAAACATATAATCCAAAAACCAAACCAAAAAAAGCCAAAAATCAGGACAAGTCACCATGAAATAATTAAGGGTTGAAAGCATGTTCAAACAAGTAAGTTTTAACTGATTTGAGAAATGTAAGCAGGGTTGTGGTAATATGTAATTCTGGGTAGATGGTATTCCAAGAAAGGGGGGGGTGTCACAGGTTTTAATCTGAGTTTGTTTGATCCTATCCAGATCCTCAAAGCCTCCAGATATGGTTCAGAATTTCCAGCCTGGCTTGAGCTGGCAGTATATAATTGTGTTGTGGCCTGTTGGCTGCTGGCCCGTCCAGCAGCTGAATGAGATGAGGCGGCATGGGAGTCAGGGCCAGCATCAAGGCAACCTGAGAACTCTGAGGGGGAAGAGGGAATGCAGCTGTCAGAGATAGAGGCAGAGGCAGAGCCTGGGCCTTCCATCAGCCCAAAGATAGAGAGTCAAACCCCTCCCCCCAGGTCTGGAGCTGGCTGATGAGGAAGAGGAGGAACAGCTGGGTCCAATGCCTGACACACAGATGCACAGAAGGCAGAGGAGAGGAGAGCAGTGAAAATCTATGGGCCGATCCTTGGGATAGAAGAGCCACCGCTGCTAGCGAAGCCCCACCCTAGCTCTGGGGGATAAAAGGCGGGGGGGCCGAGATGAAGAGGTGTGGCAGACAACTATTCATCTCCTTGCTGGACAGACTTGTTAGCCTGCTGTGTGAGAGAGAGAGACTTCTTGCCAGGGCTGCTGGTGCTCCTAATGAAGGAAACATTTATTTAACCACAGAGGGTTTGTCAAGTTTAGGAGCCAGATCAGAACAAATCGACTGTCATCACATAGTGATGACATCTCACCCCATATTAATGGATGATCTCCCACATCCATTCCATGATCATCAATTGCTCTTCGGTAGTTGACCAGCACTCAACACCATACAGTGCTACTGAGCAGATCATCACTTTATATACTTTTAGTTTTAGGTGAATTGATAAATGCCTATCGGAGAACACTCCAATAACCTCCTTCCACCACTGCCATGGTATTTTCATCCTTGCATGTACCACCGTTTTGCTCTGCAACTAGGATCCTAAGCAATTGAAGGAGTTTGGCTTCACTAGATCTTTGTTACTGACCTGAATGATGGAGGTGCTAGGGCTAGTCTTTAGATACTCCTTCTTCTTGATATTGAGGTGCAAATCAAATTGGCTAAGAAGCTTATTCCCTGTCTGGATACAGTGGAGTAGTTCTTCCCTGATGGTAAACTGTGAACAGGACATTGTTAGTATGGAGCAAGGCCCAGGGAGGACTCAGTGATGCAGGCCTTACATAATGGTATCCATGATGAGAATGTGCAATGGTGGCAATAATGCCAAGCCTTGGTGCACACTATATTTCACAAGAAAACAGTCAGAAAGGCTGGAGGTAAATAATACTTGGCTGCTGGTATAAACATAAAGCACCTGGACCCATTTTATGAGTGCTTTGGGCATAAATGGTCACAAAGTGCATACCATCTCAGTTGATGCAAAACGTGATCTATTTTTTTTTTAAGATTGCGGAAAGCAAGTGTCATGACTTCTGTTTGCTATGCTTCTACATGAATATATGAGCCACCAAAATGGCACTGGTGAGTCTCAAGCCTTTGACCAAACCCTACTGATTGATACTGATTTCAACAAGGACATGGAGGTGCTGGTTGAGTCCAACACATTGTTACCTTTTAGAATGATCTCAGAATTATCGCACCATTGATTTTAACCTACTTTGGGTTTTTAAGTTTTGTTGCATGACCTGGAATATAATGATATCGATGTAGCTGACTGTATATGATGTATTTCTGTTTTGCAGTGCCATAGCCTCAATACTGAGAGCCTGGTTAGACCAATGCTCGGAGGATTTCCAAGAGCCACCTCATTTCCTTTGTTTGCAGAAACTGCTGGATTATTTGACCAGGATCATGCCAGGCTCGGACCCTGAAAGAAGGGCACAGCAACTCTTGGAGCAGTTTCAGAAGCAAGAAGTAGTAAACAACAGTAAGGATATTCTGCAAATATTTTAACAACTACTTTTTATAAGGAAGCAGTCATTGCACTGTTTTCGGCATTTATTATGCTGTGATATCAGTTGGAATACAGTAGGGGGGAAAAAAGGAATAGTGGATTGTAAACTTTTCATTTAGTGTGCTTGGCGAATCAGTTTTCTGACTTTTCTCTGTAGGAAGGTGAGGAGCCGAATGCTTCTGCCAAATTCCCTAACATTTAAAATGCTGCTTTGAGATGATTATCAGCTTAAGTGCAGCTTGCAAGTTTTCAAAATAAATTCACCATTGCTCTGATGTTTCACTTAAAATTGGTCTCTCCTGTGATCCAGCAGCAGATTTTTTTTTAATTATTATTATTTTCCTTTGCTTCTTTCATGACAAAGGAAGTGTCTGTGACTGTTTTTTCCTATCTGAATGGTCTGGTGCTGACATCCGAGGACAAAAGGAAAATTTACGTTAGCAGGTCAAAATGCCACTGGAACAATTGTGAACAGTAGTGACACTGGAATGCTGCTTGCAGTGTCAGGACTGATAAATAGCCTTCCCCCTTCCCCCAAGACAGAAGGTTTCCTATGGGCATAATTAGCATATCTAGAAAGCCATTGGAATTTGCCTGATGAACACAACCAAATGAATGTCCAGTTTTCACAGAAAAGTAGTAGGAAATGGATAGGAAATGATAGTACGCAATAAGGAATGAATGCAATAAACTTCAGAAATTCTTTCCCCTTTGAATATTATCTATCTGAATGTTGCAAAATGTACAAATTATACAATTAGTCATCCTTGGCACCAAATAAATGGACTTTTTTTTTTCTCCCAAAGGAAAAATGTAAATGGTTCTTCTCATCCGAAATTTCAAAATCTCCTAGGGTTGTTAATTTGTACCTAATGAATACATATATCAAACAAAGGAAGTCTAAATGCTGAGAACTATAATTAGCTGTTTACAGAATAAAAAGTTCCCACAGAAGTTCCTAGGCACAGCAGATACTCTAGGTACAGAAGTCTTGCCTCTTGCCTTCTTATTGAAAAAAAAAAGGAACATTATTTCAGCTGAATCTAAGATGTTATCAGTGAGAACCCTCAATCCAGATCTTCATCACATAAAAAAAAATTAAAAGTTGATGCAAATTTTACAGAAAAAAAAAATACAGGAATTGCTATAGCTTGTGTAATATCTAACAGCAATGGTCATCTCAGAAACCAGATGCTGTAGACCAGTGTTGGCTAACTTTTTTGCCATTGTGTGCCAGGAGCAGGAGAGTGCCGGGGGGGGGTCATGTGCATGCCCACACCCATAATTCTATGCCCCCTGCGCATGTGCGCCCCTCCCGCTCCTGGCACGCGATGGCCCGGTGGGCCCATTTTTCTCTCTCCCCAGGCTCCTGTTCTTCCCCAGCTCTGGATTCCCAAGGATTGTGACACACACCAACGGTCCTTATCAAAGTTATAACATACCAAAAATAAGCAAAGTCCGGCAAAGGTTAGCAACCAGCCCAGAAAACAAGATACTCTCCAAAATGCTCTGTAATAATTACACATTGTTTCCAGCAAGAAATTACTAACTGCATGCGACTTAAATAGGCTAAGGGAGCGGCCAATTATCCTCAAACCTTACTCTCGAGGAGACCTCCTCCTCCTGAGTAGCCACTTCTGCCTTTTGGCAGCCCTGCATGCTCGAGCATTGAGGAGAGGCTCCTCCACTTCGCACTCTACACTTGAAGGAGCCTCTGGAGGTTCTGAAGGCCCTGGCTGAGTCTCTATCTCTGGCACCACAACCTCTTCAGCCTCCTCGCTGTCCGATGTAAGCACCGGCTGCGCAGGCTGCTGGTGCAACCCCACACCAGCCTTCTCGTCATCAGGATTAGCCACGATCCGCGCAGGCCGCTGGTGGGCCACAAGAGCTCCAGAGCCTTTCTAGGAGACTGGGGAGGGCAAAAACAGCCTTCCTCACACACACACTCCCGGAGGCCCTCCGGAGGCCGAAAACTGCCCATTTGCCAATTTCCGGTGGGACTGGAAGACCCGTTTTTTGCTCTCCCCAGGCTCCAGAGCCTTTCTAGGAGTCTGGGGAGAGCGAAAAAAACTAGACACAAGGACAGTTTTTTCTCAAAAGCCATCACTCTGCTAAACAAATAATTCTCTCAACACTGTCAAACTAGTTACTGAGTCTACATTACTATTAATCTTCTCATCGTGCCTATCACCCATCTCCTCCCACTTATGACTGTAATCTTGTTGCTGGTATCCTTACGATTTATACTGACTGTTTACTAATATGATTTGATTGCTTATTTGTTCCCTATGACTATAATTAAATGTTGTACCTTATGATTCCTGACGAATGTATCTTTTCTGTTATGTACACCGAGAGCGTATGCACCAAGACAAATTCCTTGTGTGTCCAATCACACTTGGCCAATAAAGAATTCTATTCTATTCTATTAAAATCATAATCCTGTTTTTTGTCTCAAACTACTCTTCAGCACAAGATCTAACTTCAATTAGACTTGCATGAGGTAGGATGAGAGGAAACATTTAGTCAATTTTCACAATATATTATATCCTGACAGGTGAGATTCATGATATATTTGCAACTGAAGAAGGAACAGAGAATAGTGCATCAGAAGAATTTTCTTCTTTCCCAGAAGACCTAGTAGCAGAACAGTTAACTTACATGGATGCTGTAAGTATAAACAGATGTATACTTTTTTGTAAGCATACATACAGATTATGATTCTGAAGTGTTTGTTTTATTTATTCCTTAAATTTTTATTTAGCTTTCCAAACATATGGTATCCAAGACACTGAACAGTCAAATATAAACCAACAATCAAAATATAAAAACAAGCCGATGAAACATCAGAAAACTAATGTATACAATTTTAGTTTATGCAAACAGCTGATTTACCATATGTAACATTTTTATACCTCTTTGGAAAATGTGTGGGGTTATTTCTATTGTTTTTCCTAGCTGAGATAAAATTGCCCTTTATTCTCACTGATTACATGATAAAGTGGGTTGCTAAATTGTTTCATCAGTTTTCCTGGTATGCTCACTGAATGAAGAAATTGTTAATTATTAATCAGATTTATATCACCCATCTCATCAAAAGCAACTCTGGGAGGTGCACAACAATAAAAGAAAAACAACAAATGTAAAACACTACAAATACAAAACACAGAAACCTGTATTAACGCATACCATAAAAGCAAAACATAGGCAAAGGGAGGATAAAAACCACTTCAATAATGGAGCCATCTAAATAAGTATCTAGGTTAATTTTCTTTCATTTGGGAAATTTGCACATCCAAATTCTATAACTTTTCTTAATAGTCTTCTCTATTAAAGATTGTGCAGTTATTATGTACCTTTTTTAAAACTTGGCATCAGTTTATGACAAAACCAAACAACATTTGGTTGTAACCAGGGGTGAAATCTAATTTTTTTTGCTACCGGTTCTGTGGCCGTGGCTTAATTAGTGGGCGGGGATTGGTGGTAAGGTGACTGGGAGGGCGTGGCTTGTTGGTCAGGTGGGTGTGGCCAAGTCAATGTCACTTCTTTGCCCTTTTTTAACCTACAAAACACAACACAACACAATTGGCTCACCCACAATATAAAAGCAGCTGTGCTAGATCCAAAATGGCCCCTGCAACAAGCAGAAACCTCACACAGCCACAAAAAGCCCAAAAAACCAACTTTCACACTTTACACACACACAACACAACACAACACAACTGGCTCACCCACAATGTAAAAGCAGCTGTGCTAGACCCAAAATGGCCCCTGCAACAAGCAGGAACCTTACACAGCCACAAAAAGCCCAAAGAACCAACTTTCACACTTTACACACACAAAATTCCACATACAGCTTTGTGAGATTTTGTATGTTTGTGTAGTTAGAGTGAAACACTACAGAAACATACTAAATCTCAGAAAGCTGCATAAATATTATTTTATTTTATTTTTATATAAAAGCAGCTAAATTTAAAACTTCCTAAACTTTAAATGGCTAGGTCGAAAAAAAGAACAACTAAAAAAACCCCCAATTAACTACTGTATTTTTTTAAAGCTCCCAAAGGGGAAAAAAACTTACCTAATAGAACAGGGGTCTCCAACCTTGGCAACTTTAAGACTTGTAGACTTCAACTCCCAGAATTCCTCAGCCAGCTTTGCTTTGCTGGCTGAGGAATTCTGGGAGTTGAAGTCCACAACTCCCTGCCTGCTTGATTGCAGGCAGGAAGATTCAGTTGCTTGCTGATGCAATGGATTGCAGGGATTACAGCAAGGCGTTGCGACCAGCAGTTAAGATAAGCAAGCTGAGGAGGGGCGGGGGAGGGATTTTTGCTACCAATTAGCAGGCAACTCAGCTGGGATCTTCAGAGCTTGGATCATCAGAGCCATTTAAAAGGGAAAAAAGTTTTTTTTCTTTTACATGGCTCTGGCGATCCAAGCTGAGTTGCCTGATTAGCAGGCAACTCAGCTGGGATAGTCAGAGCTTGGCTCATCAGAGCCATTTAAAAGAAAAAAAAGGCTCTGATGATCGCGCAGCTCAGCTGGGCATGGGGGGCGGGGGCAGAGATTTTTGCTACCGGTTCTCCGAACTGCCCGCCGCCATCGCTACCTACTCGCCCGAGCCGGTCCAAACCGGGAGCATTTCACCCCTGGTTGTAACTATTGTTTAAAATACATAATACTTGGGGGAGAGTATTTTTTTGCCTCCCCCCCCCGCTTTTCATTTCCTTTTCTTCTTAGCTTCTATTTTAAATTTTTAAACTTTCTGTTTCTTTAAGATTAAATATTGTTTTGATTATAAACTAAAAAAATTTAAAAAGATACTTAAACAATACTTTCTTAAAATATAGTTTTATAACAGCATTTGATAAAAACAACAACAACTAAGTTACAGTAGAAAACTGCTGATTTTTTAATATTGCAAAATTATTGCAAAGTTTAGGGCAAATAGTGAACCAATAGTGAACCAGTTAAATGGCTCCTTAGACATAGATCGTTCTTTGTAAAGATTGATCAAAGCAAGTTTGTGTATGTAATATGTTTATCTATACTAATTGTCATCTGTTACTAATTGCTGATGGCTCACCAGTCCATTTTGTTGTGCTAGATGGTTTTCTGCAATTGGAAACTGATAAAAATGTTCAAAAGAATTGCAGAACTTTGCATGAAAGTTTAAGTGGATAGCATTAGATTCAATCCAAGGCAGTCCATGGACTGAATTTTCAAATACTTAGGAAAGCCATGTTCTAAATCTATTTTGTTTTGCTTTTTTTCTCTCATTTGACTTTTTTGTTACAGTGACGTTCAGATGTGGAATGATAGCCTTAATAATGTTTTGTTAGTTCAGACTTTGCGACAGGCCACAATTAGTGCAAGTATTGGTTTGCAAAACCATTTGAAATCCTTTTATTACTCTGGTTATTTGATTAACTGTAAGACAGTCTGTTAATTACAGTAAATTCACAGACTAATTATGTTTTACAGTCTGTAAAACCTAATTAAGCTTATATAACTATAATCTAGAAAAGCATTCAAATTAAGTGAATATATTTTGAAATATTATATTTCAAGGAACTTTCTGTTTTCAAATAATGTAGAGCAAGCAGTATTTGCTCATTATTCATGATTAAAAAGCCTCATGTCTCACATACATCGTTGACCTGTTCTAAATCATGTTAAACATAGTTAAGTGAAATAAAATTCTAGATGTGTATATGTTTAACATTTTGCAGGTAAATCAGAATTCAAGAGTTTGAAAAAAAAAAAATTTTCATCAGCAAAATAAATTTCTCATAAATTGGATAGTGTCAGTCTTAGTTATCAGTGATCTATCTCAGGTTATATTCAAGCCAGCTAAAATGTTACCATGTTTATGAACTCAGAATATGTCTTTATGAAAATTGATTGAAAGAAGTTTTAGTTAAGTGGACTGAATTCCCACTATTTGATACTTTTTGAACCAGTTTGAACCTTTTTTCTGTACGGCTAATAGATGGAATTAAGTAATAAAAGGTATTCAACTGTTAAATTACTCCTAAAACAAATTGGCAAATATTGAACTTGGCTATTTAATTTCCAGCAGGCAATTATTGTAGAATATTTAAAAAGCATTGACTCATCACTCAGTCCTCATACAACCTTATAAATTTTAATAAAATTAAGCAAACAACAAATATTTCCTCAGCAATATAATAGTATGGATGAAATTAGCTAAAGGAATACAAGCATACGTACGTACAAAATATTTGAAGTAATGCTTTAAATCCATGGCCTTAAAGTTGTTCATTGATAGTGGATCATATAACCCAATAATGCACATGCATGCTGCTCTTTGCATTTTATGCAATGCAGTAAAACACTATTAACGTTGCAGGAAGAGCTGTGCCACATAAAATAACACATGGGTTGCAAATGAACAGACTATGGATTTGCATTGGGAGATTTATGTCCCTAACTGTTGCTTTTTGCTGGGTTTTCTGTCTAATTCCCAAGCAGTGCCCTATGTGGAAGTTATGAGCTACAAGAAATCAAGGGCTGAGTATCCTGCAGTGCTGACCCACTGTATTTCTAGACACATTTCCCTTTCAAACTACCCTCTGCTCTGCTATATTTGTTGCATTTTGGTATTCGACCATTCACAAACTAGAACCATGGCAGATTTACACTGTTTCAAATAAGTTTTTGTTGCATCTCTACCTGAGTCATTCCTCTGAGGCTATATGTTGAACAATGGAGAGGGAGAACTCTTCCTTGTGAACACTGTACAAGTAAATATTAGTTAAGTTTAAATTGATTCTTGTATTATCTCATGATATTTTTGTTTGCTTACAGTACACTATTCTTGAGTATAAATGCATGCCCAATAAATATTACTGCTACTACTTCTGTTATTACTTCTACTAAAAAAGACTATTGCTTTCTATGAAATTCAAGGGGAAAAAAGATGTGCCTTTTGTTAGAAAGGTTGGAATGACTGCCATGTTGTGTATTTCAACACAATATGTCTAGTAGAAATAAGTCTTATAGCCTTGACATGATGTTTTATGTGTTGTTCCAGACACTGTTTAAAAGAGTGGTGCCACACCACTGTTTGGGCTGCATCTGGTCTCAGAGAGATAAGAAAGAAAACAAACACTTGGCTCCCACCATCAGAGCTACTATTGCACAGTTCAATGCAGTCACCAAATGCGTCATCAGGACCATTTTGAACGGCAAGGAGCTGAAAACGCATCAGCGCGCCAAGATCATAGAGAAGTGGATCAATATTGCCCATGTAAAGACTCATTTTGTTCCATCTGTCTTCTTGCTATTCATACAAATGCTGGATTGTGTGTGTGTCCGTGTCCATTATAACATGCATAAATATCAGGGTTCATCTGATCCCTATCTTTGAGTGTTTTTTTCTTCCCCCAATAATATGGAAAACAGGTAGACTAGCTTTGGGCATAGCATTTCAGATTTCCTTGGAAGTTCAATAGAACAGAGTCAATTTTCCCTGGATGGTAGAAAGGCTTTGATATTTGTTGATCAATTTAGTTTGGGAAGTAATTCCAATTCTTTCCAGTCCCAATACTTTCTGATTGCATGTCTGTCTGTCTGTCTGTCTGTCTGTCTGTCTGTCTGTCTGTCTGTCTATCTATCTATCTATCTATCTATCTATCTATCTATCTAATTTACTTACTTACTTATTTATTTACTTATTTTATATGCTGATCATCCAAAGTGACTCTGGATGGCATATACGGTGCTTTATAATCTGAATACGGACACTTCATGTGATAACAATGTTTTGCATAGATTACATTTAGTTATTTTCACTCTCTATACACATTTCAGTTGTGATGGTTGGAAACTATAATATTAAAGATCAAAAGGTAAAGAAAGCAAGAATACAGTAACCCTAGAAGGTATTTTCAAGTCCAGAAAAAGCAACATATTTTTAAAAAAAGAATTGGTCAATGTTTATGTAGTTGACAGTTTCCTTTTTTTAAAAAATAAGAATTTAGAGCAACAATGCTCCTAAAAGAGTAACTGAGCAATGTGTAACCCTTCTCTGTTCCATTTTCACTCCCTTTATAGGAATGTAGGATTCTTAAGAATTTCTCCTCTTTGAGAGCCATCGTTTCAGCACTTCAATCCAACTCCATCTATCGGTTAAAGAAAAGCTGGGCATGTGTTGCAAAGTAAGATCAATATCCCATCCATTCTTGGGCAGTTGCTAGTTATATCTCCCTATAAGTTTCTGTACATTTTGGGACTTGGAAATCTGTAATTTACAATTCCTGTAGAATTGTTGATGGGCTGTTGCAGATGGGGTGAAAACTGAAGGCAGTCAATAATTAGCAAAAATGAGATTTTTAATTTATAACTAGCAGTTATAAATTGGCTCAGAAGCATCTCTAAGGATGCCTAATTTAGCTGTTGATATTACTATTTTTCTACAGTTCCTCAAATACAGAACTATCTGAAGTCTCTCCAACTTAAGGTGTGTGACTCAGACTAGGGACTCCATCCTCGGCCAAGGAATCTCTGGATGATTTTGGCCAGTCATAGTCTCTCAGCTTAGTCTACTTCAATGACTGTTGTGAGGAAAAGAAGCAGTTACTCTGCTTTCAACTGCAGAGTAAAAAGTGGCGTATAAATGCTTGCATTTCAGAGAACCTAGAAGCCTGGGGGATGGATTGGCTGTTGCATCAGAAAAAATACCGAGAGACTACAATGAGCTGCTTCTTGTTTAACATTATAATTGGAATTATATTCTCCTTGCTTAGACAGTAACCTAAAAGAAGAGATGTAATTGGGGATTTGCCTAGGTCCTAAATCTGAGAAATCTCCTTACAAGATAATACCATCATCACAACCAAATTTTAAATTAATGGAGCAAATTGTCATTTAACTTACTTCAGGAAAACTGAAAATCTTAAAATCATTCCATTTTCTTTTGTGCAGAGATAGAACATTAATGTTTGAAGAACTATCAGAAATCTTCTCAGATCATGACAATTATTTGACAAGTCGGGAGCTGCTAATGAGGGTGAGAAGCAACAGATACTTCAGTGACAGTGTAATACTTTACAACTGCAGTGCTCAGTTTTTGCTAAATAACTACCAATATATACTACTAATCTGTGAATAGGTATGCTGGTAGAAATCCTTTGAGTGTCAAAGATTATCTTAAGTCTTGAGCAAGCAGTTCTCTATTTGTGAACATATGTATATGTTTAATTCAGCGGTCCAATTTATGAATGGAAAATAAATGTTTCGTGTATTAGCAGCAATATCAAAACAGGCAACAGCTGATATAAGATGCAGGAAGTCCTATTTTGGTTTTACTGAATGGCCAGTCTGAGAATTACCTTTCTTGGCTTATGAAATCTAATAGGAAGAGGCTGCCCATTTCAATAGCAATAGCACTTACACTTATATACCACTTTACAGTGCTTTTACAGCCCTCTCTATGTGGTTTACAGAGTCAGCATATTGCCCCCAACAATTTGGGTCTTCATTTTACCCACCTCTGAAGGATGGAAGGCTGAGTCAACCTTGAGCCTGGTGAGATTTGAACTGCCAAATTGCAGACAGTCAGCAGAAGTAGCTTGCAGTACTGTACTCTTAACCACTGTGCCACTGTGGCTCATCATTGAATCTCACTGATAGAGAGAAAAAGAAAATGGTTTTAGCCTCTTGGAAAGAAATGGTGATCAGGCTGCTTCTAAAGATGCCAATTTTGAATTTGGAAGATAAAAATAGCTATAAACTACCATGTTTCCCCAAAATAAGACCCTGTCTTATATTTTTTTGAACCCTGAAATAAGCGCTTGGCCTTATTGCCATGTGTTCAAAAGCCCGATTGGGCTTATTATCAGGGGATGTCTTATTTTGGGGGAAACAGGGTAGATGACAATATTCCCTTCCTAGGCAAGGACCTTGAATGGATGGTAGCTGATCAACTGCAGACTTTCTTGTATAAAACTGATTTTCCAGATCTATTTCAATCCACTCTCAGATCTGGCTGTGAACTATCTTGGTCATCAGATCTGCCTCTAGGTTGACCTAGCTAGGAAAAAGACAGACAGAATTTGACACTATTGTTCCTCCTGGAACTCTCAGAGGCTTTTGATACTATTAAGCATGATATTACCCTGGGTAAGCTATCAAAATTGAGGGATAGGGGCACTATGGTTCTACTCTGACCTGGATGCTTTTTTCCAGAAAAATTTTCTGGGGATTACTTTCCTGCATCATGATGGTTGGGTTATGGAGTTTTATTCCCTATGTTCTTCAAAATCTACATAAAACCACTATTAGAAACCACCCATGGACAAAATTAACCTGCAGGATTTCCATGAAACTGTTTTTGGGATACTTAAAAGCAGATGGCTTTCGGTGTGCATGGATTTAAAAAAATAAATGGGATTAGCTATGCAAAATGCAATATTTTAAGAGAAGTTTCCTTTTGATTTGAAATTGAATCAGACTGCTAATATTGAAAACCTAAAGGTCATTTGAGTGATTTTTAAAAATGTTTTGTTAGAGAAAGCTGGCAAGGATTGAGATGCATCTGGTATGAGATAACTCATCCCAAAGGAAATTATCTGAATATTCTGTGCTCTTCCACTGAGACAGAAATAAAAGATGATAACTGTGAAAAGTCATTAAACTGTTTAGAGGTAGTTACAGGAAAAAAATGACATGTAAAATTGCACAAAAAGTGGTACAAATGTGCAGTATATATAATCTATTCCTTGAAAAGCCAAAGGCAATGTGAACTGAATTATTAATGAGAAAAAAGTATGCCAACTGAGGAAAAATACCATAAGTGAAATTATTGCAAACAGGGTATTTTATTTATTTATTTTGTTTATGATTGAATAGATCTCTTTAGTCAATTGTATTTAAATGCAACCACTAAAGCCAATGTAACAATAATGATGTACAACAAGAACTAATTCAATGTATAATTAAAGTCAAGTATTGTAGCTGATCACAATAAAAAATAATAATAATGATGCTCTTGGTAACCAGAGCTTAACAATAATCAACTCTTGAAGGCTTTCTGGAACGGCCTTTTAAGAGGCTGCAAGGCCATGAGAATTGTGGTTATTTTTGTCTTGAGAGGAATGGAGCCCCTACAGAGAAAGTTCATTTTTGGACACTTCCAATTGTACCTCCTGAATGGTTGGGATTTCATCAGACATTCTCTGTACCCATTGACTGTATCTGCAAAATCTATATGGGATGGTGAACTTGAAGATGCCCAGGATCTTTGATTATATTCAGAATGTATAAATAGCTAATACTGCACCTGCAGAAACTGTGTTACTAGCAATATTGAGTTTCATTGATAACTGTATAGGCCATTATGCTTTGCTCCAATTGAAGTTAGCAAGTGGTTTTCAAAGATGTAAATTGAACTACTACACATAGTCCATATAGGAGATGTCAACGGTATGAATGACAAATGTCAGCACCTCTCAGATAAATAAGGCTACAATTGGTATACCTGCCAAAGCTGAGCAGATCCCCATGGTCATGGCCTTCATCTGGAACAGGAACTGTGATTCCAGGAAATGTGGCCTGTTCACCTCAGCAAAGCATAAAGAGGTTTAAAATTCGAAAACCAGCAAGCTTCTGTAAAAATTATCATTCCAGCTTTCTAGGGTTAAAACTCTGCATGTTTCTTCCCATCTACATCTTGATAGTCTCCACAGCTCCACAGAAATGCTTGTTTGCATCCTCTATTCAGCCCATGATGGAAGATGTACAGTTGAATATCATCCACAAACTGACATTGCATGGCAATATTAATCTATCTGTGTTGTAGATCATTAAGTGTAGAGCTGATAAAAAGCTAAATCTTCTGTGAATTAGTACTGAGTTGTATCTGAGATTTCGAGATGTAAAATTATTGAAATACTTGGAGCAGTAATCACAGGACAATGAAGTTCTATCTGCATACAGTATTTATAGAAAATTACCTTGAATGTCTAGAAAAGTCATCTTTAATTTTAGAAAATGCCATTTCTAAAAATACAATGATTTATTGTCTTGTAAGTGAGGGTCAGAAGGCTATCTAATTTTCTAATGAAGTTTGGAGATTATTTAAGTGCATACAATTGATTGGAAAGCACATAAAATTTTCAGGAGGATGACAGCATCATTAAGTTAAAAAGCAATGTAAAGGAAGCCCATAAAAAGCGAGGGCATTTTAAAAACATTCTTATTAAAGTGAACAAAAAAAGAAAGATAAAAACAGAAAATCAAGATAACAAGACAATATTTTTTTTAAAAAAAGAACAAATTACTGACTTTTAAAAAAAAATCATCATGCACTTGAGAAGACATATCCCTCTGTAGTTATACAGAAAAACAAGTTAAAACATGGCAGTAAATTAATTTTAATCTGGTTCCAATGACCAGATCATATTGTGAAATATGGCTTCTGAAATCATAGTGTTACTGGTAAAGTGATCCCCAAGGCCTAAGTTGTTGGAATACAGAAACACTTTCATTTCCTGACCGTCTCCTTGTTAGTCAGCAAAGCAAAAATATTAGTCACATCATAATGTAAGTGTATAAGGAAAAAAAAAAGATCATTATATAATGGAAAGAAAAATGTTATTAATAACACATAGGTTGAACTGTTTACATATTGGACATCTGGACAGTTAAAACATATTAACTGTCCAGAAGCAGGAAGGTTGTGATCCAGATGTGCCTAATTCAGAGAAAATTGGAAGTGAACAAATACTTTACTTGGCTCAGAGGTATTTTGCATGTCAAGTTTGACTTATATTTTGGAGCAAGCATTCCTCACCTTCAGGAAACTCTTGAAACATTTTTGTGTGAGCCTTTTTATTAATTTATCTTTTTGGTTGCAAGATGAGTCACATGTCTTTTCAGCTTTTGGGAAAATGACGTAGCATTCAGTTCGCATGGGAAATGTTTGTGAGCCTGTTCTATGGCCTTTTCCCATTCATTGCCCTTTTATTTTCATCACAGGAAGGAACATCTAAATTTGCAAATTTGGACAGCAGTGTAAAAGAGAACCAGAAGAGAACCCAGAGACGGCTTCAACTGCAAAAAGATATGGTAACTCTTTCTTTTACATTTTTAATCATGAGATGCTCGGGAGATCCAGGAGGGCCTTATTCCTCTCTTTGAAAAAAATTACAAAAAACAGCTATAGCAAAGATAACTGTTTTAGGATTTACCCAAATACAAACAAAATGGTTAAATTCAAGTTAAATCAAATTAAAATAAAATTAGGAAATCACAATTTCTCACTATGTGAACCAGTATATTCAACCAAGTCTTGAACATTTACTTAACTTTTTTTCATAGCTTCAAGAAAAAAAATGCAATCAAAAGATAATAGTGAACATAAGTTACTAATGGTGGATGAGTTCCTTAGACCAGAATTTTTGAGACACACTAATAATAGAATAATAATAATAATAATAATAATAATAATAATAATAATAGAATAATAGTTGATCAATTACGTTTGAATAATGCCTTAGATACTTCAACAATCAGATTTGTGTGGAGAAAATTTGAAGTTAAAATTGCAGCTAAAGTAAGCTTTCCTTGAGTTCCATTCTTTGAACTTAATAAGTTTTTATGATTTTATAAGATTTTTTCCTGTTTTTCAGACTGTTAAATGACATATTTAAATCTAATTTGTGTATTTTTTTCACTTCCCAAAAAATTGCTTCTTTTCCTGTATTCTATAAACATTCTAAAAACAATGTAGGTGTAATAAAGTGTAATAAAGAAGACTTTATTACACTTGCAATAATACATTACCAATTTGATCATCACTTTTTCTTCCCCTGTAAAAATAAGGTGACATTAATTTTACAAGTGGCAAGTCATTTTATTTTTATGAATATACGATTTCCCCAAAGCAAATTGCTTACAATGGCAAACAACGTACTGTATAAAGGAAATAATATGCTGGTATAAACCATAAGGGGAAAGAAACAGAGAGGAGAAATACAAACATAAAAGTTCCTTAATGAAATAGTGAGTAGCCTCAATAAATCTCTCAGGAGAGGCCATTCCACAATATTGTGTTCTATTGAAATAGCTTCATTCATTTCCTGTCGGATCACATTTGATGTATGAATGGTTCATGCAGCTTAGCTCAACCAGCCAGAAAAGCAGCCACTGCTAGGCCAGAATCCAATTGCTTCTTCACAGATGGACATGTCAACATAGAAAAGATCATGAGGAAATAAATATATGTAGGAAGAACTTGGTATAGAAATCTGGACTATAGAGGGCTAAAGATCCCTGAACCACATAGAAGTTTGAACTGGATCCAAAGTCAAAAAGCACTTAATGAATCAGAACTAGGTTGGTTAATCTCTTAATGCTTTCATTCTGCTCAGGGTGTAATGCAAGGCACTGTTCCTTATCTTGGTACTTTCTTAACGGATTTGACAATGCTTGATACGGCTCTCCAGGACTATGTAGAGGTAGGTTTGTAACACTCACTCATGCATACTGTAATAGTTTTGCCTTCAGCATGTATTTGTAAAGCATCATCTCACTAGGCACAGACCAACCATAGGACTGTAATTAGGAAATTGAACAATTGCTAACAATTATAAAACTGAGTTTACATTATTAGAATCCTCCCAGTTTAAATCCCATACCTTGAATTAAAACAAATTTAAGGGTAGGTTTGCACAGGTTTGTTACCGTGGGTAAAACCAGATCTATATGTACAGGATAGCACATACCAGTGTTTGTTTTTTAGACTAACATTAGCAGAATTTTGTCCCAAATTCCACATTTTCTTTGGAATAAGTTATGTTTTGATTGTAATATACGGAAGCACAGATCTCTTGAACAGGGACTTTCTTGCAAAAGGAAGAGTAACCAACTATGTCTTGGTTCAACAGGAGACTTTCAGAAAAACACTTCAACAAATAAAGTGCATGGGTATTTAATTGTGTCTGAAATAATCATGAATTTTTTTCAAATGTGTTCATTAGGAGAATGATATAAAATGTTATTCAAACTATGAGCTGAAGAGACACACAAAAATGAAATTGGAAAGATGTTTCCATAAAATATTAAATAAGTATTGTGGAAGGAAGGAAAGAAGTCATCTGCCACATGAGGGATTTTTGTGTAATGTTTTATGTTTATAGTATCTCAAGACTTTATAAATTAGAAATAATGTTCTAATGCATTAGGTTAGAGCTGTAGTCAGGATCTGCCATTATGTTGGTATGTAAAAATTTTCTGTTGATAATTGTGAATATAGTACGTAAGTGATGGACTGATTGGTTTGATTATTAAGTGGGGTTTACTAAGAGTTATAACCAATAAATGAATTTTAAAATATGATGGTAGAGGACCCAAAAGGGTAAATACACAAACATTTGGAAACATTCAACTTATTTTTTTGTTGTTGTTGAAAGAATTGGCCTGGTTCTGTTCAGTTTTTAATTCAATTCTAGATCTTAGCTGCAGGCTCTCCCAACCAGATACCCTTCAATATCATGTCCTGTTTTGTATCTCCTGGAGGGTGAAAATGTGTATATGGGTTATGATTGTTCCATAATGTTGGGATAAATTATATTGTTTTTAGTTACACTTTTAGTTTTTAATTTCATTTCTGTTTGGGAGGTCAGACCATGAGCTTTGAATCAGATATAATTGACTAAGGAATTTTTGAAGACACCAAGTTACGGAAGGCTGTCTTAGTGCTTATCTACAAGCCCAGAATATAGTAGCTTAACCATTATCTTTCTTCAGAAACATTCACTTATGAATCAGTCCACCCGAATGCTGTGGTTATTCTTCCTTTCTACTATCCCAAGAGTTTTATCCCAAGAGTTTTATCGGGTACTTATGCTGCCAGCTTTGGGACAATAGTAGAACTCGTTGCTACTGTTCCAGGCTTTGAAAAAGCATAGCAGATCTTGCTTTATTCATGCCTTTAACTATGTCTTAGTGTTTGATTGTACTGGCTGATGGCACCACACAAGAACTTCCCCTTTATTTAATGAATTCAGTAAAAAATGGCTCTATGCAAAGAAGTTCTGGATTCAGTTTTTATGACAGTCCCCAAAGGATTGCAGCAGGATTGCTGAATGCTCATTGCTTAGATTCTTTCATGGGGAAATACATGTACAAATTTATTATTATTACTGTACAAATAAATGTACACATGCATTTGTAAGAATCTGATGTTTCAATGACTAGAGACTTACACAGAACATTTTGGGAGGCAAAATAGATTGATCTTAATCACACATGTGGGCAGAATTTTTGTTGTTCCTGTAGCCTCATGATTCAAGATTCTTGCACTTCAGCAAGCTCTACATTGTGCATACATTTATAACTTGTGTAAATTTTGCCACATAAGAGACTACAAACCCAAAGCTAGCTAATGTCTTCAAGTTAAATTTGTTCTCTGCAAAGTCCCAAATCATCTGTGGGAAGAGAAGGACACCCTGCAGCTGTAAAGAAAGCAGCTGGTTCAAGCTAATAGGGATGTACATCAGCATTAGCATAATTAAATCATTGTAAAGTGTGGAGAATATGTACATGTTTTCAAATTATTGAAGGAAGTTTGGCTGAGATTGATTTGCATAGTGAGATTTAAAAGCATCTTCATGGAACCAGTCTTGAAAGTTTTGGCCTTTTGGAAAATTTGTTCCTTTGTAGCCATTTTTATTATCCCCATTAAAAATGCAGATTTTGTAACTTTGCAATCCATTTCTTTATTTTTTTGCAGGGAGGGCTAATAAATTTTGAGAAGAGAAGGCGGGTAAGCTTGCATTTTGTTTCCACCATTCAGTCACAATTTAATGGTACACTGAAATCTGAGGATTTATTTATTGTTTTTAGAGAGAAACAGGAGACAATGTAACTACAGAGCTTAACATTTTCAACCAGAATTGTAAAGCAAGTTCCAGGAGAGACAGAATATTAAACGCAATTCCTCTCAAGTACAATTTGCCCAATTTATCCTTTTCTTCATCGGGTTGGCTGTATAATATGCCTCCACATAATACTGTATGTTAAGCACATCAACATAGATGTAGGAATGTTTCAAGATTACAACTTTTTGTAAGATTCTGCATAGCTTTTCCCCAGAATACTGTGCTGTTACCTGAAATCTCACAAAACGTTCACATTCTGTCTTGAAATCTCACAAAATCTTTAGCAAGAAATCCAAATCTTGCAAAAAAAAAAAAAAGAAAGAAAGAAAGAAAGAAAGAAAGAAAGAAAGAAAGAAATTACTCTTCCATGAGATTTCAGCCATTAATTTTTTTAAAAAAATGAAGATGGATAGATACCATCTAGGAAATTGCATGTTATCATCACCATAATTATAATAGCCAATGTAAAGATATTTTCAATCAACTATCTAGGATATATCATTCATTTAAAATACTGATTTTTGAAAAACAAACTCAGTGTATCATAAAAGTAGTATGGGCAGTCACATGGATTCAAGTTATTGTATTTTTAATAAAAGATCATTTTAAGATCAACACATTTTGAAGGTTTTAGTAGTCAATGGAAAATGTCTCACAGTCAGAACATGTTTTTATTCTTGTGAAACCTCTCTAAAATGCAACAGGGCATTGCCTCGCCTCTGCTACATCATGCTGACCTACAGCAGATGAAGAGTAGTACAAGTTTTTAGGATTTATGTGGCTGGATGGGCATTGGGCAAAATTTGTCCTGCAGTTCAAGAGACCAGTTATTGTTGTGCAGAGCTAGTAAAGAGAAGAGGAGGCAAACAGAGTTTCTTTGCCTCTAGTAGGTAGAGATGAGGGCTCTTTTTGCATCAAGCAAGTACAGAGTTAAAACCAATGACTTCTACCCATGTTGAAGATCATTTCTCCGTCTCTTTAACACAAGTCTTAAGAGGGAGTTACAGGCTTGGTACACTTGCAAAAGTTTGCCGGGTCTCCTGTCGTGGTATGTGGGAAAGTTAGTTTTTGAACCCTGTGTGCTCCACCGTTCACCCAAGTTTCCAGATCATCAAGCAAGGAACATTCTTTAGGTTCATCTGAAAGCATAGAGACTTTGCAGTGAGATTATTATACATGTAAAGGTGGAAAGATTTGAGACTACCCACTATGGAAGAATGGATGAAGATGATGGAACTTGCTGCTATGACCAAATTGACTTCTTTGATAAGAGAAAAGACATTATCTATGATTATTGTTGACTGGGAAGCCCTTATAGATTTTTTGTGTGTGCATAAAATAGGATTTATGGTTTGATGATTAGGAAAAAAGATTATAGAAAAAATAAGAGTCATGTGGTAACCACTGATTAAGAGGTAAATGTTGTAACTGCTATAAAAAAAATAACTGCTATAATAACTGCTGTAAAAAAAATCAGACACTATTTTTAAATATTTTTGTCATCTTTCTGCACTTTTGGCTTTGCTTTCTTTTTTCTTTCTTTTCTTTATTCTATATTAGTTTTGTTAGTTTTAAAATTTTAATCAAATTATTTTTTTAAAAAAAGAATAGATGCTTAGTGCCATTCAGAATCAAATTATGTTATGCTTGTCAGTGAATTTGTCATGAGTTCTTCAACATCTCTAATTATCCCACATCCTTCTGCTCTTGACTGTGAGACAGTCTATATTGGGCTTCCTTTTTCCTTATTCAGATTGCCTCTCTTGTTCCATTATTATTTTTTTCAGGAATTTGAAGTAATTGCTCAGATTAAACTCCTACAGTCTTCCTGTAATAGCTACTGCATGACTTCAGACAAAAAATTCATCCAGTGGTTCCAGAAACAGCGGCAATTAACAGAGGAAGAAAGGTAAGATAAAATTTTGATTTGTAAGGCAGATTTTTTTTTTGCATAATCCAGATCTTTCCTTATCTCCCTTATCATCTGAGATAAAAGAACAAAACCGTATTTTAAAATTGTTGTGGAATGCACAAGACATTCAATCAGCTTTGAAATGTATACTAGAAACACACATGCTGCTTTCACAGAGAGGGGTAAGTATGACCCTGTACTTATGTGCAATGCACATACATACACACACATACAAGGCAAAGCTCTGATCACTTGTTTGGGGCTGCCACCTTGATTTTTTTGGACCAGCCCTGAAGAAGTATAGAGCTCTTCATACCATTACGCAGTGAAGAATTCCAAGTACAGTCCTAGAGAGGTCTATGGAGATTCTCAGTCATCCAGGTCCTGGTTGTCCCAAAGGTGCTTTTTTTCAGGAGGCAATTGGACTTTCTGGTTTTTCTTTGAAGATGTTTTGCTTCTCATCCAAGAAGCTTTTTCAGTTCAGAGCTGAAGAAGCTTCTTGGATGAGAAGTGAAATGTCTTCAAAGAAATACCAGAAAGTCCAGTTGCCTCTTGAAAAAAAGCACCTTTGGGACGGTCCTAGAGAGGCTAATCCTAATTTGGGTGATGCTATCTCGGAGCCTTGTAGCAATTTGTTATTATGAATTCAGTATACAAACATACTAGAAACAGTGGTTCGGGAACCAGGAAACCAATCACTTGCAAGATGGTATCCTTTGTACCCTGTAAGACGATATTCTTACGTTTATCTTTCTCCTAAATGCTTTTTCCTCTGACCCAAGATCTGATAATTTCACCACCTAAAGCAATCTATCTTGATCTTTTTATCCCAGAGGAACCCTTGAAATAATTTTTAGGTCAAGAGAACCTTTACATAAAAATTATTTTGACAGCTTCTTTTTTTTTTTTTTGCAAAAAATGCAAACATGTCACAAGACAATGAACTTTTAGCCTACCCAACCCATGTTGGCTTGCAATATTTACCACAACAGCAAAGTGGTTGGCCAACAACTGAGTCATGGCACATAATGATTCCCACCACCGCAAGTGCTAATATTGCATAGTGCATAATATTTTTAAAATGCTATTTTTTTTCCAATCATGATCTCACACAGAACCCTAGTTGAGAAAGGCTGAGCTCAAGGTTTATTTTAAGCCTTCCAGACTCTTCAACATTCTTTTGTTAAAGCTGAAATGATCGATCAAGGTAGTATCTGTTAATAAATTCTGACTTTTGGCTTCTCTAAAAATAGCCAGCCAGCATTTACAGCAATATGCGGCTATATATAACACATGAAGTTGTCTTTTTATATCAACTTCCTTTTCCCGTGACATTTTGAGTTTCACTAAACAGGTGCAAAGCTTGTTTTTTCCTCTCTTTCTCTGATGTTGCCATGGTTGAATTTTAATTGTGAGCCCAAAAGGTTAGATTTCAGTATGCAGAGTAGCAATTGCATTTTATGGATTTTATTTACAGATCTAACTCATTACAGAAAAACCTGCCATGTACATGTCTATGTTTCTATGCACTGTTGGTTCTCCTCTCTTCTTTTTAGTGCATGTTTGGAATATAAGGGCAGGGATGCATTTTACTTGAACGTTTATTTGTTCCCACTCAGTTCTGGTGCTCAGAATTTAATCTGCTCATGGAGTTAGAATACATTATATTAGAATATAGAATATATTGCATGTATCTTGAAAAGCATCCATCTTGGGTCATACAGAAATAGGATCCGAGGAAGAAGAATAAACCCAAAAAGTATCCAAGTTTCAATATAACACAAAATATATCTTCAAAAGGAGGAAAAAATTAACCCTGCAGTTACATGTAAAACTTATTGAATAACAGTGTTTCTCAGTCTTGGCAATTTTAATACATGCTTGCTCGGGAATTCTGGGAGTTGAACATTTCTTCAAGCTGCCAGGGTTGAGATAAACTGGAATAACTCATACTAACATAGCTACTTAATTTGAAGTAATGTCTACATTAGATATAAAATATTGTTCCAAAGTAAAAAACAAAACAAAATACCTGGTTTTGGATTTAATTCAGTTATTTAATTTTATGGTAGCAGTATTTTATGCTGTTCTAATCTGAAGGCGATCTCTAATCTTCCAGTTATGCCCTTTCCTGTGAGGTTGAAGCAGCGATCGACACAACCACCACATCCCCCAAACCGCGGAAAAGCATGGTGAAACGACTGAGCCTGTGAGTTTGAATGGGGAGTGAAGCAGGAGTGAAATGCTACTAGTTCGCTCCAATTCGGGCGAACCGATAGTGATAAAAACTACCATAGTGATAAAAAAAGCTACTAGCTCCTACGAACCATTATTTCCGACGATCAACTGTGCTGCGGGGTTTAGCTTTGCTAGAAAACAGGAAATCCTACTTTCTAACAAAGCTAAATGTCGCAGCACAGATGATCCCTTCCCTTGCTGTTCTACTTACCTTCCCAAGCCTTCTTTTGGCGTGCATTGTGCATACGCTTGCAGTGCGTGTTTGGTGCACAGTGCGCATGTACGTGCATGCAGCACGCATCTGGCGCACACTGCGCATGCGCTGCCAGCGAACTGGTAGCAAACCAGTTCAGATTTCACCACTGGAGTGAAGGTTGGGAGCCTGAAGAACTGAGGGTTGTTCTCTGGAGAGAACATCTGCTCTCCTGGTTCATGGGGAAACTCATGTGCAAAACCACACTTATACCTGTGCAAATGAACTCCCCTGTTATTACTGCAAATCCTTGCTGAAAGGAAAGGTGTTTGGGAGCATAGACATTTCAAAAAGCTTCCTCCCTTGTTTTAGAGGCAGGTAAACAATTCATCCTATTTAAAATAGAAGATATCTCTCTAAGCCTCAGGAGGGCTTATAGTATTTACCTTATATCATGATACCCAACTGAAATTCATTTGCAAGTTACGCTGTTCTAATCAGCTTCATTCTTCCATATCCAAGGGAATTAATAGTATAACTTTAAGAGTCATTAACTGAAATAAACTGTTTTTCACAGATTTAAACAAAGAAAAATGAGTGTGAATAATCAAGCACTCTAATAGAGTCTCCCTCACCTGCAACAAAGCTTGAAAAGCTAAATAAATAATGCTTCCCTGACACACACTCTCCCTCCTTCCCTCCCTCTCTCTTTAAATGATTTTATTTAAAGGAATATATCCCAATATCATTTCATTGTCATGGTTAGATTTTTTTAAAAAGTTTTTTATTTTTCTACAAACATATCATTGTGTGAACAGTGTGGGACCAGAGTGTCTTACATTTTAGTACAAATAAAACAATATTCTTCATATTTAATACAATTAACAATCTTATAAAATGTTAGTAATAATACACATTTTTGTTGAGTTATAATCTTTCCTTAATTATTCAATATTTCAATATATTATTTTATGCCAATCGCAGTATTCTTAATATCACTCCTTTTACTACAAATAAAATACCAATAATCATATTTGTTGTGTCTAACAGACTTATATAATTCTAATAGTAATATACAGCTTTGTTATGAATTATAGTTTTTGTTTGATGAGTTATATAATTCTAATAATAATAATACACATGTTTTGTTGAATCTTTCATTATTATCTTGTTCAATAATTCAATATGTTGATTTCATGCCAATCAAATTCTACATATCGTTCCTTTTACTACTGATAAATTGTTGATAATTATATTTGTTACATTTTAATTAACTCATATAGTTATACTAATAGTACACATATTTATACTAAATTTATAATCTTCAATCTTTTGCTTATTCAATATTTCTATGTTATTTTTATAGTTACCATATTATTCAAACATATTCAAAATTATCATCATTTAAGAATCTAGGTTCCCTTCTTATTATTAATTCACCTTAAAATATATATATTACATTAATCCCTCTTTCTCTAACTTCCAACCCTATTAACTTGTCTCACTATTACTTTTAAGAAGTATTCCCCTTTTTTATCCATCATCTCTCACCCACGTTAAAGTTTTAATTTACCATTTCTTAGCTTGTCTCCCTGGATCTTCTATCTGCTTCCATTGTTTGGCCAATCCTCTTAAATATTTCTCCCTTCTCTACCCATTGTCTAAGTTTCAAATTATCTACTCTTACCCCTGTTTCTCTCCCAAAAAAGTCTTCCTGCAGTTCCAGTTCCTATTTAACTTCCCTTAAAATACTCTCCCCTTGGTTTATTTCATCAATCATTCTTATTAATTTTTTTTATCTCCTTTTTGTCATGTCTTCTTGCTTGTTGTTTTGTCTGTTCTATTTTTTCAGCTGCTCTTTCAGTTAACTCCTCCTCTTCCTGAGCGTCCTGGTTTCTCCTTGTCTTTTGTGCCATAATTTCCAGCTTTTCATCTATTCTCTGCATTTTATTCATAATCTTCTCACATCTTCTTGTCAAAGTGTCTTTAACATCCTGGATTAACGACTCAATTTCTTCCCAAATTCCACTCATTTTTTATTTTTGTTTTGTTTTGTTTCTTTTTGTCCAACTGTCATGGTTAGATGTTGAAGCAAAATCCTTTTTTCTATTCCCATCCCACCCTATATTAACAATTAACAATCTGCCATTGCAATCTTCCTTGTAGGAATTTAAATCAAATGTTGCAAATGAAGAATAATTGACAGGAGCCTCAGTGCTATTTAGAATAATAAAGATAATCTATATTAGAAAATTGATATAAGGTGTATGTGGTTTTAATGAATTACTATAAATATAATATATAAATATATATATAAAAATAAGCATGGAAAGAACTCCAGCTGCAACTACCACCCATGTTTATTCATAATTCCCAAGGAAATTGATATAGCTGTATAGCTTTCATCAACCAAGGCTGCAATAATATATCGACTCCCCTGAACAAAATTAGATACTCACCCACCTGATTTTTATTTTCTCAAGATCTCAAGAATACAGAACAGGCATGCACTCCTTATGACCCATTAAGACTCCCACTTTCTTTCAAGAGCACAGTAAAACTCCAACATTTTCTACCTGTTGGGAACTATATATAAAGAAGTGGGTTGCCTAGCACTGTGATAAACCTCAGGCAGAGAGCATCTTTCCTGGATGTGCAATAAGTTGACTGGTTGGATACACACCTTCAATTCACATCTCTTACAACTGTTCCCTGAGTTTCGTATCTCTTGCCTGTCTCCTCTGAAGTTATCAAGAATGTGGTTACAAGGAATAACATTGCAGGATTGTGCACTTCAGATCTAGTTGTCTTGCTTTCTGTGTATTGTCTCTACTCTTCACCAACACTTTGCCCTCTTTCATTTGTTGTGTTGAGACAGTTTATTTCTGGGATCTGATGTGATTGCTAATAGCACGCCTACCAAAGAGCAGCCCAAGTCCGTACCAAGTGGGAGCTCCGGGGAAAGCATGGATTCGGTCAGCGTATCATCCTGCGAGTCAAACCATTCTGAATTGGAAGACATCTGCATCACTCCTACGGATACCCCTGATGAGGCCCAAAAGAAAGTATGAGCCAGAAAGACCATTCTTCATTTCCAGGAGGAGATATTGGGATTAGAGCAGGGATTTTAAAGTCATCACACCTCCTTTTAGTGTAATCTCAATGGAGACAGCTCTCTTAAAAATTCAAAGGCCAAAATGAAACCAATATAATAAAACTTTGGGAAAGGTGGATTTATTGTAATAACATACAACTAAAAGGTTCTTCACACCTTCCATGCCTCTCCCCAAGGGGAGGGGGTACATCTCCAGTTTGCAAAATCATGGATTAGAGTCTACCTGAAAACATTGGCTGTGATGCAGAAACTTTTCTACCCAACTTTCTTCCTGGTGTAAACATGGGATATTCGTCTGAAACATATTTCCAATTAAGTCTTGGGTATTTATGAGAAGGGGATTCAGATCCTCGTGGGAAGTGAATGGAGCATCCTGCACTGCACTAGCAATCACACCCAGTGGGTTGACAGCCTTGTTAGAGGGTTTTCATTTGCTGCAGCAGGAGAAAGCCAGATTCTGGTACAATGAACATGCTCAACGACTTTGTCAGCTGATTTACAGGGGCCCCAGTTTACCCTCAATATGAATCTGAAATCATTTTGTCTCCATCCATCTCATCTCTCTATAGGATCAAAGTGAGCAATCTGTGAACCTCCAGATATTGCTGAATTGTAATATACAGTATCTCTCACCATTAGGAATGTATTTTAGTAATTATATAGCCGGTCAAAAGTTTCTGCACTCCTGGTTCAAGTTATCAGTTTCCTGAGACAAGAACAACAAAGGAGTCCTTGGTACTCTCACAGTTTGGTTGGTTGGTTGTCCAACTAGATAACATCATACCTACTAGTGAGTGAATGTGTGTGTGTGTGTGTGTGTTGCTGTCTGTTTATATATAGTAGGTAGCCTAGCCAGTATTCCTAGGAATATGTGGTTTTCTCCATGGTAGTTCCTTGAGTAGGGCATTGTTTTCTGCTAGATTGTTTGTCAGGTGTTAATCCTTGTTTATCTGGGTGTTGATTGCTGGAGAGGATGTGTCCTGGTCTTTTTGTTTCCTTCTTAGCCTTTTCATTGTCTCTTTTGAATGCTGTGTAAATGTAATGTATCTCTACATGTCTATTAATGGTTGATTGATGTCTACAAACAAACGACTAAGCTCAGAGAGCATCAAGGACTCCACAGTTCAACTCTGAGATTTATATATGTTCTTTGACTGAAGCAAAAGGAACAAAAAAGTGATCTTGGAAGAAAAGTAATGTTTCTGTGTTGAATATAACCCATAAAACTTTATAAAAGGCCCTCCTACTCTACAGGGGAGAGAACTTCAGGTTTAAAAAAACAAAAACAAAAGGAAAGATTTTCTGAGATTGTAACTATAGCTGTAGCTGTAGAATGAACTAACAAAAAAATGGTAGATTCTGCCATCTGCTGGTCAGTTCTAAATTCAGGAAATAACAATTTGTTTGAAGGCATCTTATGTTATATATACTTCTTTTCTCTCAGAGTATTTAGTACAAGTATGCAAAGAAATAAAAAGCTCAAAAGAGCAAGTCTGTCTTAACTTGGACTATTGTTCAGTTCTGCCAGTGGTGCAATTCAATATAAGTTCCTTCACTGGAACTTACGTTAAATATATGTGTATCAGATTGCTACATCCAAAAGAGCTGAAAATTCTAATTATATCTACAAAGGATTGGCAGGATAACAATTTATAGTGGAGGCAAAGTTGTACTGACCAAAATATTGGAACTTTTTTTATCTCCAGGTGATGCTGTGAAAATAACCTTAAAGTTTAACTATCAGCTTTGGATGGTAGCTAGTGGTGGGGTTGTTTTTCTTTTTTTAAAAAAAAAAAATCCTCAGTTTAGAAACTACTGTAAATCAAATAGATATTTTGATTTGTCTTTTATGACTTCACTCCTTAGCTCACAGAGTCCTCCTCCTCTTGTTCCTCCATCCACTCCATGGACACGTCTTCATCAGGAGTATCATCCTTCACCAATGTCCTTGTGTCTCCTCCTTCTCTGGCCAGCAATCCCAGAATCCACAAACGCTCCATCTCTGTCACCTCCATTACCTCAACCGTCTCCTCTCCTGTTTACAACCAACAGAACGAAGACACCTGTATCATCCGTATCAGTGTTGAAGACAATAATGGCAACATGTATAAGAGCATTATGGTATGTCATGAGAACTGTGGTTATTTATAAGGGGCTGTATCACCGAGATACCACAATTTGAGAGATGATCTCAAATCCCGAATCATTCATGCAAAAATTCACAAATTCACTTCCTATTATCTCCCTCAGAGGACTCCTGTCAAAAATCCTAAAGCTCTTCTACCAATCACTGTAACAATTTCTGACATGCTGAATAACTTTGCTTTTTTTAACGTGCATTTCTTCCAGGGCTCTTCAGAGCAAATTGTAGGGCATTTTAAAATGTAGTTTTTCTACCTTTTTGGTCCATTGCTTAAGCATACAATAGCAAGTACCTAAAAAGAAAAGATATTTTGTGTAAGACTTGTTGGAAAGATGATTTGTGTTAAGACTTGTTGGAAGAGATGACAGTTTTTTAAAATCCAATAACCAACCAATCAACTCTAGATAATCTACTACATGGAACTCGCTATAGTCAAAAGTCAGATACTGAGAAATACAGAACCGGAAATAGCTAATTTAGTTTTTTTTCCTATAGTCTGATCTCTTTATTAGCTACACTATCTGAGAATTCTGGGAATTATTATTTATTCAATTTATATCCCGCCCTTCTCCAAGTGGACTCAGGGCGGTGCACAGCCAGAACTAAAACACATATCAATACAAAATTTAAAATTATTAAAAGAATTAAATAACTGTGGCCCCAAAATTTAAAACATTAAAAACTAAAACCCAATTGACAATTTAAAAAGCTAAAAAGACTAATTATAATCTCAACATATCTGAAGAACATCAAATTCTTGTAAATTGATCTTGTTGGATATTAACAGAGTTGGAAGGGACCTTGTAGGTCATCTATTCCAACCAATTTAGTTACATAACTCTCTACGTTTTATGTATCTCTGTGTGTATAAGCTACGTATTACATGACAAAAATGGCAAAACATATCAGTTAAAAGAAAAAATAGTATTTCCCATTACTGCACCATCAATTTTTGTACCACTTCTTGCAAGATGATTGTACTAGCTATCTAAATCACCATTCTGCAGATTTATGTGAATGCCTAGAAATAATTTGCACTGAATTAGCACAAGGAGATGGGAAGACAAAGAACTCTTGTATGCTACATTGATTTACAGTTTCTGATCTGCCTTCTTTCAAGCAAGGTTTTGACTTATATAGAATCGATATTGAATCAAGAACATATACTGTAGGAGCTACTGGAATTCCTCCTTTTAAAATATTTGTCTCTATAGGGAATTTGTTTTTAATATCAAATCTCTCTAAACAATAATGTGAGCATTCTAATTAGGGGCTGTTGATCAAAATACAGTCATCGCTCTTGGTTGTAAAAGCAATATAGCAGTGCTTTTGTATTTCCCTTTTTTGTTGCAATCTCCACTGGTTTGTGCAAATAGTTTTACTACTGGTGCAGTCATATACAAAGACAATCCAAAGTGTAAGATGGGATCTCTCTTTCTTTTTGACTGAGTGGAGGTGCTGATCGATTTTTTGGGGCGGGATAACACATAATTGCATTTCTTTTTATCAAGCTGTTTGAACCAACACATTCCCCAGCAGATTGAACCAGATTGTTTGTAGCTAATTTAAGAAAGAGATTTCTCCAGTGTGTGTAAAAGACAGCTTCCCCTCAGTGCATCAATACAAATTTCTCAGGATACAAAGCCACATATTGATTAAACGTATTGTACTTCACATCCCTAGAAAAGTACATAAATAAGCCAAATAATTCAAACATTTAATTAAAACTAGTTAATTGTTGCTGCCAGAATAACAAAGCTAAGCTTTCCCCAGATTTTAGATGTGTTATTCTTTCTTTTTTTCCTGGTCTAAAATTGGAGGCATATATTTTTCCCAGGACAAGGACCAGACGAACTTCTTCCCTCCATCTGTTGTCCCCTTTCATGCAGTGGAAACCCCTAAGTAATGCTTTTGGGAGATCCTGAAATTCTTCCCTCCTTTCCCCTGTTCAATATCAGGGCCCATAATAATAAGTGTGATGTTAAAGAGCCCTAACAGGGAGCAATAAATGACTTAGTTTTTCCATAGCTACTTCGGTTCTTCTCCCATCACACGGTTTGGTATGTAACTCGCAGCAGCGTTAAGATTGTACTCTACTGTAAATGCTAACTCAAGGGAGAGAAAAAACTCCTTTCATGAATAACATTAGCTGCAAAAATAACTGTTTCTCTCAGTCAACTGTTTATTATTATTATTCTTGTGTCATGCCTGTCATTGGATGCTGGCAATCATGTTGGTAATCCTATTTTTGTCAACAGCCGTATGAAAAAGTGCTGCTGAGTTTTGTCCAAACCAGTTCCTTAGGTTTTGAAGCCATGATGTTGTTCTTCTGCCTGGGCCTCATTTGCCTTCAATTTTTCCCTGGAGGATTAAGTGAAGGATGCCGTATTTTTCTGGGTGTCGCAACACATGTCCAAAATACTTTAATTTTCGCTTTTTAATAGCTTTGATTATTTCCGTTGCTTTCCCAGGTGGCTTATCACCTCCTCATTTGTGATTTCGTTAACCCAGCTTATATGTAACAGTCATCTGTAAATCCACATTTCAAATGCTTCTAGTTTCTTCAAGTGGTTTTCTGTCAGAGATCAACTCTCTACTCTGTAGAGCAGGATAGAAAAGATGTAATATCTGACAAGCCTGATTTTCAGTCTTAGGCTTATGTAGCAACTGTTTATGTAGCATTCTTATTTGACGAATCCATTCAACTGATATTTCTTTCCAAAAAAAGACAGCTCGGGGCACTAAGATTTAGGCAATCAAAACATAAAGCCTGCCTGGAATCCAGATGTGGAAGGCCTCATTGCAATCTGTTCTTTCTTTCCAGTTAACTAGCCAAGACAAGACTCCTGCTGTCATCCAGCGAGCGATGTTGAAACACAACCTGGAATCAGATCCTGCTGAGGATTATGAACTCGTGCAGGTCATTTCTGAGGACAAAGGTAAGAAAAACAAGACTTGTGTTTGCTGCTTAGGAAACCAGTTATTTTTTTCCCCCTGAAGACAAAGGGCTCAAGCCATGTCTCTTGGGTGTTTTAATTTGCAAATGTAGCTGAAATTAATCCATTCTATCAGATCTGAACTTTAATATCTTAAAAGAAATAGGCAGTTGTGGGAGAGGGTTGCATTTTTAAAACACAGAGTGAGATCAAGGGCCCATAAGAATGCCCCACCTGTACAGGTAGTCCTCACCTTACAACCACAATTGTGTCCAAAATTTATGTTGCTAAGTGAGACATTTAAGTGAGTTTTGCTCCTTTCTTGCCACAGTTGTTAAGTGAATCTGGCTTCCCATTAACTTTGCTTGTCAGAAGGTTTCCAAGAGTGATCACATGACCCCAGGACACTGCAACCGTCATAAATATGAACTAGTTGTATCTGAACGTTTATCACATGAGCATGGGGATACTGCAACGGTTATAAGTGTGAAAAATAGTCATAAATCACTTTTTTTCAGTGCTGTTGTAAGTTTGAACAATCACTAAATGAATTGTAAGTTGAGGACTACTTGTATTAACAATTCTTAGTCCCGTCCATCTTGGAACCCTCCATCTTTCGTAATTTTACAATCTGTTTTTATATTTTAATCTTAAATTATTCAGTTTCTAATTTTTTTATACACACACACATACGGTTCAGTACTGGGGCCCAGTAACATATTGGACTCTGTACTGGTGGACCACAGGACTAAGGTTGTTAAGAATCACATTTTTCATTCTTTCAGTTATCTTTGGTGTATCCAGCTTTCTTCAACATTCATTCTCAATCAAGAATGACAGTCTGTCACATAGTCATCATTGTGACAAATGGCTTAGCAGACAGTTTCTTACAAGTGTTTAGGTTTACTAAATACCATTGCAGCTTCAGTCACAAACCACCCCTTCTATCCCTAATTGGAAAAAAGCCACTAGTGACTTTGGGCCAACATTGAAGAATAGCTGAGCCATTTATGCTGGAAATTGTGCACCAGTTTTGCTTACAACTGTGTAATAGTATTTTTTTTTAAATTATCTTTTAACTTTACCTTTTTGAAATGAACCAGGTGATTGGCACTGTCCATATTAAAATAATGAAGGACTTTATCAGCATTCTTGAGCTCAGTAAAATGGAGTGTAACTCGAGAGACCAAGCTAATATGAGAACTGCAGTCAATTGCCATCCCCATCTCGTGATCAAGGTGTGCACTGTGTTTTAGTTAGTAACAGTCAGTGCACTGCCCTGTGGTTCAATGGGGCCCTTTGGTTTGTACAAAAAACTTGAGAGAAGTCAAGGTAATATCCTGTGTAAATTGTGTTTCATTTTGCCTTGATAACTATGATGTGATAATTATCTTCTCTTCTCAGACCCCCTACATTTCCATTATTATCTCTTTGAAAAAAAAAGGAAATCTTTGGAGCTGTGTTGCTTTGCTTCCTGCTGTTTCCTTAGCTTTTGCTTCCGTGCACCCCTGTAAATTTTGGCTTATTAGTATTGCTAATTGGAGTCATTATTTCCAACTTGGCCTAGGTGGCTTTTCTCAGTCCCCATTTTTCTTTTTAATTCATCGGAACAGTAGGTTTATTCAAACCTCGGAAATTAGGTGAAAAAGGTGCCAGCATGTGCTAATCTGCAGTCATATTCAGTCAACCATGCTTTATGGCTTTTAGCTGAGTGTATCCCAGCCAATTTAGTCAATAAATCATAGTTAAACAAATCATGGCTTAGTTTAACAAGGGAACCCTGGCATTGGGTCATTTTTGTTGAGTGCAGCTAAAATGACTGAAAAAACACACAAAAAAATGTCTCTGGTGACATCACCATGCTGCTGCATAGCATAACCTTTGAAGGCCACTGTAATGATGATGGTGAAGCAGTGAAGCCAGCAACCACAAAAATTGTTGCCAACTCTGGCCTAGAGAATGATGGAAGGGAGGTAAATAACAAGATGAGCTTCTGTTCCCTGGTGGCTTTTTTCAGTTTTGTAATAAAATAAGTGGGGTGAATGTTGAGGGAGAGCAGAAGCTCACCCCACAGAAATGTATCACCAGGTGAACTCCAGTGTATCACTAGCTCCATAAGCAGAAGTCTTTAGATAGATTAATTTTAGAGCCAATGCATAAAGGTCCTTTCCAAAGTGTGTTGATGAAAGCAAACCCTCCCCCAAATACACATTAAAGCATAAGTCAAGTTGCAGTCTTAGTGAGGCTGTATCAAAGGACTTCTGGGACTAAGTGCAAATGTGTATGCACATAAAAGAAGTATGGCTCAAGTGGACCTTCTCCTACAGGCAAATGGAGGAGCCCACAAAACAGCTACAGTATGCCAAACATTCAGAAGATGTGGCTGTTTCAGTGCTTGGAGGACAGGTGGGCTGGGGTGCTTTGCTCATTTGCATATTTTGGAGCATATGGTAGAAAATTTTGGATAGCTCTATTGGTTTTCCCGCCTTCAAAGAATAAGGAAACCTCCTCTGAAGAGCTGCATCCTTAATGATTGCCCAAACTATCTTGATGACATGAATATGTAGAAGTATGTAGGTAGAAGGAGCCTGTCCACCATTTGTCACAATTTTTTTCTGCTCTTTCCAGAACTGGTCATCCCAGATAGCGCAAACGTCTTTTATGCCATGAACAGCCAGGTGAACTTTGACTTTGTCCTGCGGAAGAAAATCTCCCTAGACGGGCAAGTGAAACTGAGAAACCGCTCCAGCTTGACTCTTCCCAGGACCAACAGGAGGGGCTGCTGGAGCAACAGAAACAGCAAAATTACCCTTTGAGGGTGGATCAGCCCAACACTGAAGAGGTGGGCTTGAAGGACCATTGCAGAGACTACCTACATGGAGATGAACGTGTCAGTATTCAGCTTTGGAGAGTACAAAGCTAACACTTGCTATAAATAAGCACACATTTAGTTAGTTACAGAGAACAGACAAACAGGTCCTGAATGGATTTGTACCCCGTAGGCACTTTTTCCCCCTCCCTTTTACACCCATTCCATGAATTCAAAGCCACTTTCTATTGGGAAGACAAAGAATATGCTCCAGCTGATGCTCCAGCCTTACCACAGACTCTTCGCCTCTTCTCAGTTTTGACAGTATTAATTTGGAGTGTTTTAGATGCGCTTTTATAAATGGAAGAAGGCATTTTAATCACTTGTGTTCTTACCAGAGGCGAAAGAGCATCAGACTAACCAGTGGCTAATGACAGTGCCGGGAGAGGACTGGTAGAGTCGGGCTGCTTTGGTAGAGGCAGCCCAGCTTCTGAAACAAGGGGAACTAGCCTTGTCTTAAAATTCTCTCCCTGCCATTTGTTTTTAAGTCATCCCAGCTTCCAGTCCTTTTAGGCATGCTGGAAGAATTCATTTCCTGCTCCGGGAGTCAGCTATTCACCCATGACTATATGAATGCACACCACTTGCTCTTAATGCCACTATGTTGTTTTCTTTATGCTTTGCTATTTTTTTTTTAAATTGGGTGAATGTACGTATGCAGGTATGTGTGTGTTTGTGTGTATATATATAAATATATAAATATATAAAAAGTCAAAATACATTTCCTTGGAGTGTGCAGTTTTACTCCCCTTTCAGCTGTGGAGCTGTTTTCCTGTATTCAGCCATATTGGCACTCTAGTAAACTATAACAGTTATGTTTTATACCATACTCAGTCTGAGAAACAAAGCAAAACAAAAAAATAAATAAATAAAATAAACCTGCTTAATACCCATTGTTTGAAAAGAGCCCAGATATTTTTTGTGGTTAAAAAATTAAAGAATCCCTCTCCCCCCCCTTTTTTTTTTTAAGAATTCAGCCATTAATTTATATATATATAAATACTGCTTTAGTTACTGTACCTCTTTGCCTCACAAGCCTGGTTGGTTGGAATGAGGAACGAGGTATTGACTTTTTCAAGGGTCAAGTTTTCAGTGATGATATTAATCCTTCAGAGCTCACACAACAGTAGTACAATCAGAGAAATGTTGAAATGAAAGTAATAATGTTGGTACCAATTATAAATATTTCAAACATGGGTGGTAAGGAAGCTTCTTCCTCATAGCTTTTTTTCTGATTATCAGCTTTAGTGACCAACAGGGACATCCCACCACCTTCCCACCTCCGCCTTGCAGTCTGCTGCTATATCAGCTGTTTCCTTTTGAAGGCCAGTTAGCATTCCTCACATGCATACAATCCCTTCTGTAGGTCTCTTGTAAAGACCAAACAGAGTTACAACTTTCACCCAATTACCGTAAAGCAGACTAAATTGTACTAAATTCAATAGTATTCACTTGTTTGTAACAATATTTATGACTGTAAATTTACATGGAAGGTTTTTTTTCACTTAATTTGCAACCTCAACTTGAACGTATTACTAGGTTTAATTGGGTTCACTGAAAATCTATCATACTCCAATTCAGAGTTCTTTCCGTTCTTCAAAGAATACTACTGTAAAGAAAGTAATGCATAATCACACTCAGGGCAGTTTGTAGGTTATTAGTTGCACCATCATAGAAAAAAATAGAGAATTGGCACTATAAGTAACACCTACTAAATACTTCAACAAAGCATGTTTTTCAAGCTTTGTCCATGTAGGAAAGGGAATGGGTGGTTGAAGCACAATAACATCTAGAAGCCAGAGAGTCAGTAGTCAGAAATGAACCAGCAAAATAGTTTTGCTTTTCTTTGAAGAAGAATGGGATGAGTCTCCTTCAGTTCCCATTGATATGTTTGTATGTGTGCACATGTGTGCATATATTTACACTGGGATGAGGTCGAGGTTGTGTGGGTAGAATTAAGATTGCTGCATAGCAAAATGAGATATATGAAGCCTTTTTGTTGAAAATGGTTCACCAATTTCGGCTTTGTAAAGCTAATTTTGCTATAACTATTTAGGAGCTTAACCCCAGTCCAATTTTAAATGAACACTTATCAGATTGTGATATATTTGCACTATGTAAAATCTTCAATTTCAAATGCTTTATATGTTGAGCCACTTACTTAAGTTCTCCGTATTATTGTCTACAAGAGATTGTGAGTGTGTCAGTATACTGCATATATATCTTACTCTTTGTTAGTCAGATGCAGGCAGCAATAGGTTACTTTGCAAGGTAGTCTCTAGATTAGGGACCCTAGCCTGCATGTAACAGCATGAGTTTGTTTGAGCTCTGAGTTTCTGGTATACCAATGAAAGAATATAAAACTAACTGGTCCTGAAGTTGCATAAGGAGGGACTGTTACTTGCGGCATGCATGGTATAGCTAAGCTGACTTTTCTAGTGTACACCTTCTCTGTCTTAATTAACCAACACCATGATAAGCAAAAAGTGTAATACATGTAGGCCTTTTTGATGTTGGTTATGGCAAATAGAAGATTTAAATAAAAATGTGTAGGTGGGAAGAACATGAAATAAGTGAAAGAAATATAAGTATGTTGGGCATTTGTGAAACTAGGAATGGGGAAGATGTCATCATTTGTAACAGAGGTACTATAGTCAGATTTTTTTGGGTAATGCTGAAGAATTCATGCAGGGAAGGAAAAGAGCTAAAACATATGACAGAAAGTATGAATTGGTGTCATATGTTACATTGTGGGTACAGATGAAAATAAGAACCCATACACTAGGAATAGTTGAATGTTATACTTCAGTGTACAATGGTAGCAAAAGAACCAGCAATGGGTTTTGCAGTCCATGGGCAAGGAAAGAAAGAAAGAGAAAGAGAAAGAAAGAAGGAGAGAAAGAGAAGAAAGAAAGAAAGAAAGAAAGAAAGAAAGAAAGAAAGAGAAAAAGAAAAAGAAAGAAGGACAAAAATAACACAATGACTGAAAAGCAGACATAAGAGGATGTGGAACCTGCTCAGAAAAGAGTGAAAACAATTTTGTTTGTTACACAAAAGTGTTTGGAAACTAATGGGAAGAATGAAAAATAATGCTTGATGGACTAATAAAATGAAAAGGGCTGGGAATGAGAAAAATGCTGTGAAATATTGAGAAAAAGATACATTACAGATATTCCTCAATTGATGATCACTCATTTTGTGACTGCTCAAACCTGCAACAGTACTGGACAAGTGGTACTTTTAACTGGTCCTCAGACTCTGTCATACAATCCCTGGCTGGTACTCAATTCACAGTTATGACAACACGGAGTCCCACAGTTACGTCACCATTTGTGAGTTTCTTTGCTGGCCTTGAACAATAATGTCAATGGGGAAGCCTGGAGGTGGCAAATGGCAACCATATAATACCCTTGCTTAATGACCCAGGGTGATTCGCTTAATGACAGCCCCAAGACTGCTGGAGTTGTCACCGAGTGGTGCAATTCCAGTCCCAATTGCCATCATTAACTGAGGACTATCTGTATAAAGATAGGTAAAAAAGTGTAACTAAGAGAGTAAAGGAACACTAAGATTAAAAATATAGCACAATTCAGATGGAAATTAAAACCTTGTTTGAAATGGCTGAAACGAGCTAAATAAAGAGCTTCAAGGAGAGTGAATGGAATTAAAATTGTGATGTCATGAATTGGTATGGAACTGAATGGAGGGAATGCCAAGAGTAATAGAGATTTATATGGGAATTCCTGTATATCAAAGGGTGAAATTTAAATGGATGTGAAAATTATTAGCATGTAGGAAAAGGGACAAAAAGTTAAATTAAATGTTGTGAGAACATTGAATAATAAGGCTTGAAAGTGTATTAATATAATTGGCGAAATATTAAAATACGCATGTGATCTTTTTAGTAGGAGTGTGTAATTTTGGCAGCATATTTGGGAAGACTGCATTTGTGCCTGTTGGTTGGAAGAATGTGATTGCTTTCCTGTTCAGAACTAGCAAAGAATGCAAAACACACAGCAGGATTATCTGTTGAGTGTTGTTAGGAAGGTGGAGTGGCAGCAGTCTGACTGAAGAGCAGCAGAAGGTGACAGTGAGGAAAAATTAGGGAGCCCCATGTGGCTATAGGTTGGGCAGTGGTGAATATGCAGATCACATTTTTATGGAGTCCTTAGTGCTCTCTGAGTTTGATTCAAGGTCTTCAGCATTTCACGGAGAAATATGTAACAGCAATATGTGAAGATGTAATGCTAGCTAGTGTTTCATCATGAGCAGGGAGTATTACCAGTATTACAAGGTGTTATCACGTTGGTTGTTTAGAATATTTATAAGGGATGTTTGAAGTGATGGAAGGTGTGTGTTGATTTGAGACCTAAACATACATCCAATTTCATATTCAGTTACTGTCACATTATTGGGTGAAAAACTTTATGATGATGCAACAAGAAGCATGAAGCTAAACACTAATCTGACAACAAAGTACAGGGAAAATGAAGTTAATAATTGCAAGTTTTGTATAAATGGTGAAAAATCTGCATTGAGTAAATGAGTTTGTTTACCTTGGTAGAAAGTTTTCTACAGAGAGGGAAATGGATGGGAAAATGTTAGGAAGTGCAAATGTTGGTAGTAAAAAAGATGGTGGGTGATTTTGTAAAGAATGAAAGAAAGAAAAATAGCTATGATTTTTTTTCCCTCTGGGAATTGGAGAGGTCAAGAGAAAAAGTAAGTTGAATGCAAGGGGAAGCTTTACAGTACCAATGCAGATAGGGTCAAGAATGAATGTTAATCAAATATAAAATGAATGTAAGATTGAATGACCAGTATGAAACATGTTTTGAGGCTTTGTCATGTACAGAATATGAATGAAGATCAAATTGCAAAACAAGTATGTGAAGGATAAATGACTCAAGGAAAGGGAAAGATCAAAAATGTTGTAGTTGGATCAAGCTGATGAGCTTAAAAAGAGAGAAGTTAAGTTTAAAGTTCATTGGGTTCTTTGGTTCCATTTCATTGATGGGCTACGTAACTTCTTCAGAGATGACAAGCTCAGGGAAACCCTGGTACCCACTTCAACCCTGAGCTACATATATATTTTTCACTGTTGGGAACAAAAGCTTTGACAACAAAAGTCAATGTGTAAAGTAAGGCACATGAGTAGGGGGGAAGCAGGAATGGTTTCTGAAGATAGAAGGATACTGTGGGATATAGTGGTGGTAGGGAATCTATTTTTATCTAGTTCTTTTTCTTATTCCATACATTTTACTTATTTGTCTATTTCTGACTTGTTTTGTGTTTGGCATAAGGTTGCTCACTCTGGGATAGAAGAATTTGGTATGTATGTATGTATGTATGTATGTATGTATGTATGTATGTATGTATACAAATATTTATTAACAATAAGCTTTAAAAGTATCCAGACCCTGAATGAATATTCAGAAAACCAAAACCCATTCTCTAGGTTTTCTGGTGAAAAATAAGCAATACACATAAGAGTTAAGTGGGTAAGTATATGCACATATTCACACTTTGTATTTATCTGTAGAATTAGCTAGATTTTTTATATTGTTATGCTTGTGCTGACCATTTTTTTCTAAACAAAGACAAGAATGATTAACAATTGTTGTATAAAATAGTCTTTTATCCCTATGATTTAACCTATTCATTGAATCTTTATTAAAAGATTTATTTTTAAAAAAAACTATCATTATAAAAATAAAACATTCAATTCACTTTCACTATCTAAACTTTGTATATAGAATTTTAGATCTAACACAGATTAGAACAATAATCACCTCATCAATTCCAGTATTTCAAGAATTACTTTACCTCTTGATTTGATAGGGCTTTGAATAATGAATGCAGCTGGGTTCTGAATACTAAATACTGTACTACAGAATTATAAGCTTCCAGTCCAATGTGGGGAGTATAAAATAGGATCCATCACAGCTTACAAAGCCTTTTTAGCTTCTGGTTGCTAGGATAGGAGGAATGTTTGATACCAGACTCTCTTTCTCAATTTATTCTCTCCTTCCCAATTCCAATTAGTATGAGAGAAAAGTTAGATACATAAGCCCCAGTCCACTTTAGAGGATTAATCCATTTCTGGAACTTATTTAATGGATGAAAGATCTTGGGACCATGTGATCCGAGGCAGCCTTTGTTCTGTTCCCTGCACCTCCCAACATTTTCACACCTCCCTACTGCTGGCATTAGATTTCTGCCCACATGATTATCCATGTGTTGGGGGTCTCCCAAATATGCTGAAACTAACTCAGGGAATTTTTATCCAGTCTCTGGACAAGCTCGCTAGGAACTGCAGTTACAATACATCTAGAAAGCTGAAGCAGATTTATAACTGTTTGCCATAATAAACATATATAACTTTACTTCTGACTGATGAGAGGATTTTGAGTTGGTTCAAATCACCCCTCCCGACAAATTTTCATAGTATCACACAGGTGGCTTAAAAAAAACGCCTTCCATTATTTCAATGATTTTTGCTAGCATAGCAATCTTCTGTACCTGTCCATCACCCTTTCTTTTAAGAAACTGGTTATTCATTTCCTGGTATAAAACATATGGTGCTAAAATTGTAGGGATATAGATTGCATAGAAAATAGAACTGCTTCTTAAAAGAACCCAAAAGGGATCAAAGAGGTATAACACCCTCTTCTTTAACACATATCCCCTCTGTTAATTATTCCTGACAGCAGCACATTTTATGTTCTTTCTTTCCCCATTTGATTTCTATAGGCCTGTGCTACTTCATCATAATGCAAACTGTTTCCAAAAATGTATTTTGAACTACCACATTCCCCCCAATTATAGTTTTAATGAATTGTAATAGAAGAGGAAAAACGAAGCACAGCATACATCAACGGTGTCAAACTCACATTGTCACAGTGGCGTCCCGTGATATATCTGAACTTTTTTCCCCTTTGCTAAACTGGGCATGGTCGTGGCCAGCGCGTGACACATCCGGCCCATGGGCAATAGTTTGACAGCCCTGGAATACATGAAAAGCCTATTTTGCCATTATATATCATCAGGTACAGACTTGGAAATTCAGATTTTTTAAAAAAATCCCTCTGCCTCTCATTATTTTTTCTGTTGCAATTCCACCAACCTGGTCCTAAATTATATGCCCCATTATTCCTGTGAACATTGGGATTTTGTTTTTAAAATTATATAAAGTATAACAAAAAATGACCATGAGGGCTTTGGGACATGGTAAGGGAACATTGGAAAGTACTAGAATCAGGTTGTTATTGTTGGATATAATGTAATGTAGTACAATAAAAGTGTTACAGGGCAGCAAGTGATATTGGAGATCATCTATACTGTAGGTTCAGGATTCAAAGCATTTCTTTAGATAAAGTTTCAAACCAGTTTCCTATTCCCACAGATCACTCCAGACTACGATGCTATGTTAAAGTCATAAATAAATGACCAAGACACCAAATCATTGCACTCATTGCTATATATATTATCAGACCAGCTGATAAGCTGCACACGTGTCTTTTAGAAAAACATACAATTGTACTGTTATTTCTTCTAAAAACAGCAATTCCTGGGTAGAGTATCTGTAGCAAGTTCAACACATACAGATTCTTTTGACTGTCTTTTTAAACATTTTGGTTCAGAATGCTTTTTTCCTATCCAGCTCAGAAGTCTACATTAGCAAAAGAAAAAAAAACCTTGAAGTAAATGAACACAGGCAACTTTTATGGGGGAGGGAGGTGGTTCTAAAAATGCAGACTTTGCATACGGAGATGTTGTTCAGTGGAGTGAATATTACAGCTCATTTCAAATGGTGGAGTTCGAGCATCGTAAATAGAAAAGACTGGCCACGTGTCCTTCAGTATAGTTCACATGCAAATGACATCAAAGAGACACAATGATTACATCAAAACACTTAATACCATCAGATTTTTCAGGAGTTGGAAAAGGAAATTATTATTTTCAAATCCATTATTCATCATTTATCTCCATACTCTCAGTCTGAATTTACAGATGTGGGCTGAAATTCCTCCTCCTGTCATAAAAGCATAAAGCATAAATGACAGAGCTTTACTGCAGGCAACAGTACCATTTGTGACTGAAAGTGTGTCTCAAAACTATCAATGAGTATCCTGTTTAAAAGGATATTTAACCTTTACTCTTCAAATCCAGTTTGTAGTGGAACCTATCTACCTGCTAAGGAGTCCTTGATGCTCTCTGAGCTTGGTTGTTTGCAGACATTTCATTACCTGACTAGGTAACATCCTCTGATTATGACACCCAGGATTCCACTGTTCAGCCCTGAGCTACATATATTCTTTTCTATCAGGATGCACATCGCCCCCAGCTTCTGGCTGGGAGTGAGGAAGATCTATTTACAGGCTGTTCAATTCTTAGTTTTCCATTTAGTAGAGATATTCACTAAATTTCATGAAGGTGTGAAGGATAAAGTTGGAAAACTCTTGATGAATATTAAAAATTAATATTAAAAACTCCAGAAATTCTCATGACAAATGAGTTGTTGTTCATAGCTTATGATTAAAAATGAAACCAATAATGTCAGTGGGAATTCATATGGTGAATATGAAGGAAACCTTGTCCATCATCTGATAATTTCAAGACATAAGATACTAATTAGCATTTAACCTTAGAAACGGGGAACATTCTAACATTTCTGCTTCAGAATATGGTTCACAAAATCAAAACCAGCAAGAATTCAGGCAATGCAGCAGACAATGGACCAATAATCAACACAGAAAAACTTGGTAGACCCTTCCTAACTCTTGTATATATTACTTTTTATAAATACAATAATTCTACACCAAGAATTGTAGAAAGACGTTGCTTGAGGAACCTTTGTCCTGAGTATAGCCTCATTTCCTTTTAGAGTCCTCCAGCAGCTCTATAGAATTTCCTTTAGTACAAGCCAATCAGCAAAAACCAGGGCTCCTTTCAATAATTTGTTTTAAAGTATACTACTACCCTTGATTCAGTCACGCACCCTGCAAAAATGAGACAAGCCCCTGCTTAGTTCAAGTAAGTCATATGAAACTATTTTGCCAAGCAAGATAGCGTATCAGTATCTCTGTAGAAGTTCTAGAAGTCCCACTGACGTTTCCAGTAACTTGTAGCTGATCCTGTTAACAATCATAGCTCATCTCTGGTGGATGACGCATCAAGGGAAGGTCCAGGTGGCAAGGCATTCTTGTTCTGGGCATCTTTATGGATCTGGCCCTGTTGCCGTGATTTCCGGGAGAGTGTCCTGTCCCAATCAGTGGCCAGAGTCTCATTGTCCCAGATTGTGGATGTCTCTGTGTCACTGAGGTAACCTGGTTGTCCAGTGTAGTGTGTTGGATAGATCAGCAAAGGCTCTGCAGAGAAAGCTTTCAGATCTCTAGGTTCATAATGTTCCATGTATTTGGCACTTAAAAAAGAAAAGGAAAGAAGTCACTCAGAAGAAAGGGGTTACCTCATTTCCAATTTAAGTCTTTTTGATATATTTTATATCTCACAGCAGGACAAACTTATAATGATTATAAACTGAGTAGCCCATTAAAGATTCTCCTATCAATGTTGTAAATCTATATTCACACCCCTCAGCTTAAACATCTAGGGATACTATATTGACGTACTTTATTTAAGTGTTGGGAGGACTGGTATATTTTCTACAATTATAAGCCATCTCTCAACATAAAGGCCTTACAGATCAGCACTGTAAAAATAAACATGCCATACATGGTCAATAATTTTAAAAAACTGGGGAACAAGAAGAAAGTTCAACAATAACTGTAAGAATGTATTGACAGAATTCACAACTAATTATTAAGCAAAGGTGTAACATAAATTAGTGTACAACTAGCAAGGAAACCTCTTCCAAATACGTTTTCCCTTATTTCAAATTTTGATTGAAAGAAATGTAATCAAGCTTTAATGTGAAATACATTCACCAACTAAAGATATCAAAAGATATCTGAAGTTATCATTAGTCTCCTCATAAGATTACTTGGCCTTATTAAAGCTCTTCAATATCCCTTGAAATGTATATGGAGATGCAATGATTTGAGCTTCCAGCTGGAATATGGCAGCAAGACCATTTTGGTCATCTTAGTAGATGACGTATATGGGAAACCCAAAGGGACAAATGCAGCTCTTGATTCTCTTGGAGGCTTTCCGTATTATCAACTAAGGTTCTCTTTAAGACTCGCTGGGGGACTAGACCTTGTGAAGGACTGTTCTGCAGCAACTGCAATTTTCCATACCAAGTCCAGAAGGAGATGTTGGAGAACAACAGCTCATGATTTAGTTATTAACTATGGTATCTCAGATAATTAAATCTTGACCAGAATTTAGTACTCTTGCATGTACCCTTCATTCAATAATGGGATGGATGATTAAGAATAAACTGAAATTAAACCCAGAAAAGACAATGTGCTGTTGCTCTACAGGAATCTGGACTTTGAAAGGGATTATACAACTGAAAAAAAATAGTTCTGAGATCTGGGACTGATCACTGATCCTCAACTGGCACTGACTAAGCAGATGTAAGGGAGCGTTTTTATGTAATTTTACTTAATGTACCAACTGCAAACTTCCCCAAGCCGGTTATGTTTAGCAATAGTTAGCCATGCCTTGGCTTTTCCTAATCTTTACAAACATTCAACATAATCTTTACAAAACATTCCATGTTTTGCCCATGAAAAGTGCCTGGAAGTGACAACTGGTGCAAAGAAAAGCAGGATCCCTATTCCTGCTAACTTAACTGCCAGGGATCAAAGATCCACAATGTTTGGTGTTTGCTTAACAGGAACAGCTAATCTGTAAAGCTATAAACAGCCCTCTATCTTTAAGGTTGGTGGGAAAAGCCTTCAGAAAATATTCTATGTCTAAATATTCAGAAAATATGTCAGAAGCCCAGTCACCTGCCATTCTCCCAGGTTGTGGAACCTGGTAGCCTTTCAAAAATCGTGCCAAATGCCATCACTTTTGTCATACTTTAAGTTACTAGACTAGAATTAATATGATCTTTAATTACATTCCAATTTTATGTTAAAAGTGTTAATTTTGTCAAACTGCCATGAGGGTCTGCATGAAAGAAAATAGATATACAATTATTAAATTAAATATAAAATGTGACTTTGGTTTCATATTCCCAGAAGCAATGTGCCTGATACAGATGGGCTCTGCCCACAAAGCATTTATATCAGGGCTTATCATTTCCAATACACATAAAACAGCAGTTTGTAGAAGGACTGTTGATAATAGAATCAACACCAGCTGTAGGAGGAGTGATGTTCAATCCCCACTGAAAAGTATTCCATAAACCTGAAGCTCCAAAACCACTACAGGAAGCATTTAGTGATAAGAAGATAAATATTGCTGCTGAATG